AATTTGATTCCAAAAGAAGTCATAAATATTTTGTATACATGTAAAATATTATCAACAAAACTAAATATAAAAGAAAATAAATCATTTTACTTCTTAATCAGAATAGCTTCAGAATAAATTAAATTTATCCACGTTGTAATTTTCTCTCCTGACATCGATGCTACAATTTTAAGAAATAACAACTCTGAATCTCACACCCGATATTAATTCTGTACTTAGATCACAATTGAATTCTAATAAAATGGAAAAACTGAGGTAAATACTATTCTCACTCTACTAGATGAAGATAAATAAAAATTTAGCAATAAACCATATTTTGTCTTCATCAACAATAATCGTCAGTAATTAGAAAAACATCTTCTGAGAATCACTGAAATATTCCGATGATAGAAATCGAAATAATTTTTTCAATAAATTTCTAAAAAAAATCGAAATTTGAAATATATTTCATAATAAAATTGTATTTGTATTTTTTTTCTTATATCTGAATTTGAATTATAATTTGGACACAGAGAAGATGGATCATTGATTTTCATTTAAGAGACCAAGTAAATGCTATCATCAATAGATTATAATAATAAAAACAGTCGATAAAAAAATCACAGTGGCTAATAGTAACTCACGGATCATCTCGTGACAGAAGAAAATAATGCAAAATAAATTTTATTCTTCTAAATCTGTAAGAACAGTTCGATCTCATTTTGTGTTAAATGAATCAATGGGAATAATGTAAGAAATTGACGCAAACCTTCTGACTTATGTCTACGAAATGTTAAGTCTAGTTGATGTTTGTAACGATTTCTGATAGAAGAGAGATTGTCGTATTTGGTGTTGAGTGTATATTTTATTTCAATATAAAAAAAAATCGCTCCTGTCTGTATTTCTCTTGTTCCTTATATAGTATTTATTAGCATATAATGATCTTGAGAAATACCGTAGACACAATAACATAAAAAGAAGAGAGTGCCTAAGATAAGGGGTACCTATTGGTACTAATCCAGAGCCAAGGACAAAAATCCATAGTACTCCTGGTAGTATAAAATAGAAAGAGGAATAGATAAGAGTACGACTTAGAAACTAATAAGACGTTGGCCTTGAGGTTTATTCCATTCGAAGGATTGTACTTCTAGCTTAGATTGTTACATCCCCGGGTGAAATTTAGACGCTCTCCTGAGCGTCTTTGGGAGAAGAGGGGAACTAACACTAAACGTAAGGGGCTCGCATAGAGAGAATGAGTTAAGTAATTATAGCGCTAGTAAGTGGCTGAACTTGAAAATGAACAGTTGGCAGGGGTGAGTGACGAGAAAAGTGACAATATATGAGGGTGAGGATTAAAAAAAAATATAGTCAGAATTAGAAAGATCATTGAGAAAATGTCAAATGGATGACGGTGTATGTCGCGTAGTGCCGGCATTGGAACCGGGGTCGAAGTGTTGGAAATCAAGTTGTAGATGGCGCGAAATTCGTAAGTGATATAAGGTATTTTGGGCCAACGGGATGAGTTGGTGAGGTGAACATTAAGATCGAAGCCAATTGGGTAAGAGTTGTTCAGAATGGTTGAATCCCAAATTGCCAGGGGTTAATTAACCACCTCTGAAGACGCTGGGATAGAGAATCTGTCGCAGATAAGCGTGTTTTTTTTGCGGAATGGTTATGAGGGTTACGGCGGATATAGTGCGCATTGTGTTATGAAGAACATGAGGGGGTTGGTTGAGGAGAAGGTGAGCAAATGGCATTGCTGAGAGGTATTGGTAGAGATAAGCCATTGTGATCCAATGTGGCGTAGAAATAGGGGGCCAGGGTAAGGTTCCGTACGGCATGCCGATAGAATGGTGTCAGTCAGGATTTGATAGATGCAGGTATCGTTCCACTGGTGAATTGTGGGTGGAGTTTCGCGACAGAAGGACATAACATGGAAATCGCAAGTCAAGGCTTCGGATTGTGTCCATGTAATCATGTGGTCATTGACAAAGTTGATACCTATAATAAATGGTATGTCAACGCGGTGAACCCGAAACCCTGAATGCGAAAAGGGGATTGGTATTAATTGATATACATGAAAAATTGTTTGACGTCGTTGAGTCGCAGCAAAGAATGAAGAAATTGATAAAGTGCCAATAATCGGGTCGGGAGCGTTCGACAGTCGGATGCGTGGAAGAAAAAGTACCGTTTGGTGCATTAGCAGGCGGCTGGCTAGATCAATTAATGGTGGGTCCGTAGTGTCGCTGTGGAAGTCGACGTTGGTAGCTGATATAATAAAATCGACTACAGTCACCAAATCTCGACGGTGCATGAAGTGAAGATTAAGGTGATTTGAAAAAATATCTGATAGCGAAGTGTGTAGGAAGTGAGTTTTGACTGAGTGAATAAAGCTGGTTAGTCGATTGTTGAGGCTTTTGGCGAAGATGGCAATATTTTCTATGTTGATATCATGACGGTTGACGAGATCGATAGTCTGATTGAGGGCAAATTGAGTGTGGCTAAGGGCTACCGCAAGTTTGAGTTTACCAGCTTGAAGTTGGAGGAGTTGTGTTGTATGTGTGGTGGTGATGGTATTGACTTTCTGATTGAGTTGTCGGATTTGACTAGAATTCGCCGTAGACACGGAGAGGGTCGCGGAACCGATTCCAATAGCAATAATGCCAGTCACAAAGCGTTTTTGTCGTGAGGCGTCGTTCATTGGTGCTTTGATGCCAGGGCGATGGTAGTTTTGCATTTGACGTAGGGCGTGAAATGGTAGTAAGTAACACATATCCAACGTGAGAGGAATTGAGACCGTCAGAGGTATTACACTGTCTACCAGAGAGTAAGTAGATAAATACTGGAGAACGAGACGGGATGTTGGATGGACAATATTCGATTGGGGTAGTGGGATCAGTGCCCAAAACGCGGGTAAGATCAGTATGAGAACAATTGAGTTGTGAACGATATTAGAGATCATGGTGAGGCTTCGATCAGCAGTAGGTTAGAGAAGTGAGTAGATAATTGGTTATGTAGTTTTGGTGGGTCGACGCACCCGTAGAGGATAACGTCTGACAGGGACGGGGGAAGAGTGCTCGGGTGTGAATGTCTCATCCGATGTAGTAGTTGGTGGTTCATAGTATGGTTTCATCCGGTCGATGTTGGTCGAGCCGATGTTGACATGATCGCTAATGCGCATACTCTCTAAAAAAAAAAAGTTTCCTAGAAAACCCAAACTGCCTCGGAAACCAGAAAAGGTTTGAGAGAGGGTTTCCGAGAGCATGAAGCGTTTGCAAAAATACCTTTTCGGTTTCCGAGTCTTCGGAAACCCTTGGTTTTCCTAGAATACCGATTTCGATGCCCGTAAGGTATTCTAGAGAACCTTTTTTTGATGTCGGAAACCAAATAGTATTCTCAGAAACCGCAAGAGTATTCTCGGAAACTAATATTGCCAGAAAAACTGAGTTGGTATCCGAATGGGTATGCGAGAATATCTTTTTCGGTTTCCGAAGTCACTACTCGCAAACCTCTTCGGTTTCCGAGCCTACCAAGTGTCGAAAAAGTATTCTAGAAAACCAAAACCGGTTTCCCAGAATTCTTCAATTTCTAAAAGGTTTTCGCACTTTTCAAATTGAAAAATATTTCACAAAAAATAGAACATGATCCCAGTTCAAAATATCGTAAAAGGAAGTTTTCGGCCATGAACCTGCACCGATCCCAAATTCGACCGACTGCAACGTTAGACATTTTACTTTAACTCCGTTCTCATTTCCGATGGAAGTTTGAAATAGGTTATCGAGGTCCAGGAATTTGAAACCGTCATTAGTTTTCCGATCCGAACTCCTAATGGTCAGAAATTGGGTCCATCAAAAAATTGAGGGCTATAAAATTAGACTGTATTTCAACTCCGATCAAAATTCTGATCGAAGTTTGAAATAGGTTATCGATGTCCGGGAATCTGAATCCATGATCATGTTTTCGATGCCAGGGATACGATAGTTGAATGATGGATCTGGGTAGTTGTGTCTCCAAAATGAATTCAATGATTAGTGGTAACTTTTGAAGTGCGATTGTTCTTTTATCTTTTTCGATATGTCACATGTATCAATAGACAGGTAATGCCAATATGATAAAATGAATTCAAGATTTTCTATAGTTAGGCATGTATGAATAATCAATTCTAATGCAAGTTTAATATGATAAAATGAATTAACGTTTTTTTTTAATATTTTAGGTATATGTGAATAATTTATTTAATGGTAAGTTGAATCTTACAATATAAGTCACTGTTCTTTTTTTGTTTTGTTTAGGATTATCTCAACAACAACTAACGGTGATGCCACTTTAGTGCGAATAACGGAGAAAGTGCTAGCTCGTTTTCTACTCACAACAAATCTAGGTATATATAACGCATAGAAATAAGGGCTAAGGATAGAAGTTAGGGTTAAGACTAGAAATAAGGGTTAAGGATAGAAATAAGGATTAAGGATAGAAATTATGATTAATGTTAGTAATTACGGCTAAGGATAGAAATAAGGTTTAAGGATAGAAGTTAGGGTTAAGGATAGAAGTTAGGGTTAAGGATAGAAGTTAGGGTTAAGGATAGAAGTTAGGGTTAAGGATAGAAGTTAGGGTTGGATACAGCATTAGTCGGGAGTACTAGACTAATTGAGTGTTGTGGGCTACATTTTACTACTCTAGAACCATTTTTTGGACGAAATAGGAGAAGGTTCCAGCTAGAACCAGATTTTGCTTCAACCTTAATTGGTTCTGAAAAGGGTATCCAAATCTAGAACCTTAAAAGGTTCAGTATGACACCTATTTTCTGAGTAGCGGTCTGGTGATTCTCGATGCAGAACGCGAAGAGTTAAATCTCGGAAACCTTTAATCCGTTTCCGACATAGGTACCCGAAGGAAATTTTTATTTGGTTTTTCGGTTTCCGAGACCTCGGAAACCGTGTCTCGGAAACCCTTAAAGGGTTTTGCGATTTTGTTACTATCGGAAACCTATTTTGAGTTTCCGAGAGTACCTTTTTTTTTTAGAGAGTAGCGATAAAGGTGGATGGGGATAGTTGTTCGAGGAGACGGCATGGCCCTTGAAACTTGGGGCGTAGTTTATGAGTAATAGTCGTATTATCAATTTTAGGTGTCGGGATTTGTATCCATACCAGGTCGCCCACATGAAACTGGCGATTTATCGTATGTGTATCGTATGCAGCTTTTTGACTCAGCTTGTAGATTTCAGAGTGTTCGCGAACAAAATGATAGGTTACTTGAAGATCATGGGCTAGTTGAGTACGATATTGTTGGATGAGCTTGTATTCAGGCGTATTAGATGTAGAATCAGGAAGCGGCTGGTGGATGATGAGGTCCAGGGATATCACTGGGTCGCGGCCTAGATTGAGATATGCTGGAGTCTCACCCGTAGTGTCGTTGACCGACGTACGGATTGCGAAGGCCAGTTTCTGCAATTCTTTATCCCATAGGCCGGCACGACATTGAGCATTGTTAGGATCTGCCATCTATATATCTTATATAGATGGACAATCCTCCTTCTATAGTTTTTGTTGATAGAAAAGTGTATGATCATGGTTGTTGTGAGTTTTTTTTTCGTTAGAAAAAAGAAGATCTTTTTTGTTTTTGGTTCACGTTAAAGATATATTTTGAATAAAAGGATTTGAACCTAACAAGCATAGATAGCAATTTGCGCTTTGAGTGTCCGGTTGACACGTTCTGACATATTGATTTGAGGATGATAATTTGCTGTGAATTTACGGTTAATACCCATATTCGCGCATATTACATTAAATAGATGTGAAATAAATTGGGGACCATTGTCCGACAAAATATAGAGTGGGACGCCGTACCTACAGATTATCTCGTCGATGAGTATATTGGCGATATGGGTAGCCGTAGTTTGTTTTAGCGCAAATAATTCCATCCATCGTGTGAAGGAATACGGTCTAAAATGTCCCCAAAAAAATTGTCCTTTCAGAAATGTCCCTCGTTTTTCGTCCTCAGAAAAAATGTCCTCCGATATTTTGTCCTTGAAAAAATGTCCCTTGCTATAAAAATATTCCTTTTTCTTTAAGGACAAAATATCGGAGGACATTTTTTCTGAGGACGAAAAACGAGGGACATTTCTGAAAGGACAATTTTTTGGGGACATTTTAGACCGTATTCGTGTGAAGTAGTTGACGATAACCAAAATAAAACGTTTTTGTCGCGCGGTTGGAGGGAATGGTCCCATGGTATCAATACCTATAGTATGCCATGGTTGAGATATGGTGTGTAACTGCATAGGGTTTGCAGTAGGAGCGTTTGAGTGTTTGAATTGTTGGCATGATAAGCAGGATTGAATATATTTGAATACATCTTGTCGCATTGAGAGCCAGTAAACCTGCGATGCAAGACGACATAGTGTTGGAGACGTCCGGCATGACCGGCGGTGGGGTGATCATGTGCCCATCTGACGATTGTCGTTTCTAGCGTTTGTGATATAACGATGAGATATTTTGAACCCAGAAGTCGCTGATCGGTGTACGAATTGAAATGGCGGATTTTGTAGAGAAGAATATTGATTACAATGTATGGAGAGTGCGTAGCGTTGAACGGGCCAGGAAGTTGTGATGAAAGAGATTGGATGATACGTAATAGGCGTGCGCCCTTCGGTTGTGCTGACCGAATATTATCCAGAAGGTTGGTACCTTCTAAGATGTTGATACCTGATTCTAATGAATTCAGTTCTTGAGCGGTGGTAGTATTGGTCTGTAATGGATAGCGAGACATAAAATCGCCGTTTGGGTTGCTTGTACCTGGTCGATGTTGTATGGCAATGTTGTATGGAGACAGTTTCATAGACCATCGTGCAAGACGGCTTGTTGGATCTCGAGCGTTTTTTAGCCATTCCAGAGCTTTGCAGTCGGAGCGGACAATCACGGAACCCACTTCGAGGTATTGCCGAAAGTGTTTGGTTGCCCATATAATCACCGTATTCACACGCATCGAGTTCAAGGATGAAGGGATAAGAAAAATTGGGTGTGTGCATAATTGGTTGTGACATGAGGCGTTGTTTCAACGTTTGAAACCCTGCCGTACAGTCTTCGTTCCAAGCAAGACGGTAACGCGAATATGGGGAGTTATTGGATCGAAGCAGCTTCAGGAGAGGTTCAGCAATTTTGGCGTAATTTTGGATAAAACGTTGGTAATAACCAGTAAGACTCAGAAAGGCCTGTACTGGTTTTATATTCTTGGGTTCATTAAATTGAGCTATCGTGGACGTTAAGTTAGGATCCGGCTTAATGCCATCGATAGTAATGACATGACCGAGGAACTGCATTTCGCGTCGACAGAAGTGGCATTTGACAGGGCTAAGAAAACTTTACGAAGATCTTGAAGATGTTCTGCAAAAGTTGGATAATACACAATGATGTCGTCGATATAAACCAAGCAGCATTGCCATTTCAGCCCTGCCAGTACGATATCCATTAACCGTTGAAATGTGGCCGGGGCGTTTGTAAGTCCAAAAGGCATGACTGTACATTCGAATAATCCTTTATGAGTGACAAATGCCGTTAACGCTCTACTGGCAGTATCCATCTCGACTTGCCAATAATCGGCACGTAGATCCAATGTCGAGAAGAACTGCGACTAGTGTAGTGCATCGAGTGTATCATCGATCCGGGGGATTGGGTAGTGCAGAACCGCATCGAGCCATCTTTCTTTGGTGCAAGGACCACAGATGACGCCCATGGACTTTTGGAGGGAGTTATAATACCTTCTTGTAACATTTCATTGAGATTACTCTCAATGATTTGGTGACGGGCCGGGGAGTAACGATAAGAGGCCGAGTTACGAGGTTTATTTCCAGGTTGTATATCGATTTGATGTTGTATTTTATCGGTTCGGCCGGGATTCATGGAGAATACGTTCGGAAATAGTCGGATAAGATCAGATAATTGTTGTTGTTGATCTTCCAATAGAGTAGAATCCGAGAAATCAGGTGATTCAGGTGTTTTCGGCTTGTTTGTGTAGAAAATATCATGTACTTGTGGAGGGGACGAACTAAATGGTATTCCGACATATTTTGTATATATCCCTTGTGGTGAACCTTGGTAAGGGGTAGAGATATCGGAGAGGTTGCGATTTGTGGGTATAGTCGGAAAGTATACACGTTGGTGAGCGTCATTGATGTGGAGGTTATGTGTACGAAGGAAATTGTTGCCGATAATACATGGTCGCCATAAATTGGGAATGACATACACAATACTCCATCGAGTGGTGTTTTGAATAGTGAAGGGAAGGCGCAGAAACCATTTGACGAACAATGTTAATTTGTTGGCAAGGCGTAAAGATAGAGATGGTGGTGGTGGTCTGCGTTTGGAAGTTGTAAGAAGAGGATCGAGGCGTTGAAAAAGGTGAAAATTAATAAGAGTTAGTGAGGAACCAGTGTCAATCAGGGAGTTGACTGACAAAGTGCCAATTCGGCCAGAGGTAGTGAGGGGGTGATTGTGGGGATTATCGATGGTGTTGACGCATCGTGGATTTTGTGAGTGCGGGTGAGAATAAGAGAGGTTTTGTGTGCCCGTTCCACGAAAACTCCTTAATTTTTTTTTGCACGTGGAGGTAAAGGTTCTGTGTTGTTGTCGAAGGAGTCAAAAGTTCTTCGTGAGTCGTTGAGAGGACAATTTGGAACATAATGGCCAGTTTCGTAACAACGCCAACAAGTGGGATTCGCTTGTGTAGTAGATGTAGGTGATGTGTTTTTCGAGGAATTATATGCCCGTGTCAAAATTGACACAAGAGGCGTCGGATCATGCCCATTGACATTTCGTTTATAGCGGGTATTTTGGCGTAGACGCAGTTCTTTATTCCGCAGATACAGAATTTCTTCGACGCGTTGTGCTTCCGTGATGATTTCATTCAGGGTAGATGAACGAGATGCGCTCATGAGATTTAACGTGTCAGGTCGCATTTTACAGGACAGGTGCTTAATCTAATCAGCTTCTTATTCGTCCACTCGTTGTTCGAGCCAAATCGCTTGGAGACGGACGACAAACTCATTGATTGTTTCATTGTCTTGTTGTTTACATTCAGACCATTCCTGTTCTTGTTGCGCCACCCGAATCGGAGAATGAAATCGTGATCAGTTGAGTGGAGTATTATTAGTAATATAAAGTTGACAGTACCATTCGAGTGTGGAGTCTTTTAAAAATTGAGAAATTCCCTGAAGTAAAGTGTCAGTAGACCACTTATTGATGGTTCGGGCGTATTCAACCACCCGTAATAAAAACTGTCGTGATCGATCAGTAGGTTTTCCAGAAAAGGTTGGAAATGACGAGATGGGCGGGGAACAATGGTGTTATGGATTGCCTGTGTTGGTTGAGCATTGTGGTGGTCACTGTCTAAAAAATTGTGTTGAAGATCTGATGAGAGCCGAGATGGATTGGTTGGTCGAGACTGATATAACTGCTTGAGTTCCGCGAGTCCTTGGTGAAGAGATTGAACATTGCTGGATATTTCCGACCATAGGGCGCTTTTAGCCGCGATTGCTGCAGTTAGTTTCGATTCCAGGTTTCGCAATTCTTGTTGAGTTTCGTCGCGTAACGTGTTAAATTGAGTGTTGCCAGGTAGTGGGAATGCTTCGAGAGTTTTTTTGAGAGTTTGGATAGTTTCACCGTGTCGGGTTGAAGTAGTGGAGGTACGACTGATTGCCTCATCGGTGGGGATCTTGGATTCTGTCATGAAGAGACACGTGAATGATAACTGGACTTTTGAGAAGCAGATTGTGGGTGTGAAACAGATTTGCTGGTTAGTGTGTCAGGGTCGCCAATTGTAACGATTTCTGATAGAAGAGATGCCTGTGCTGATGGTATTACACTTTATTTAACTCTTCACAACATAAATCGCATCGATTACATATAAAGTACACGCTTAAATACTCAACCATTTGAGAGAACGAAGGAGAATGAGAGATAAAGACACATATCAATGGCAGAAAGATAAAGGCAATATATGTGATGAGAAGAAATGGCACTTTAAGGTCAAATACCATACACAAATCACACTCAAACGGGAGCGTTTCACTCTCGCGTGGAATTTGGACGCTCTCCGTATTTATCGTTACAATTACTCTTCGACAAATCAATGATTTTCGACGACACTTGAAACCTGTCGATAAAACTTGATGACGCTTTCTATGACTTTGTAAAAATGGCAATGATAGAAACTAGAACAGAAGTGCCCTTGGGAGCCTCACGAGAGTGCTATTCCTTTCGTCAACAATGACAACAAGAATTTTTCTAGCCCAAAGATTTTCATTCAGATCGAATATTATTTTTTCGTAAGTTGTAGTCGAGTTCTATAGTCTTTAACTTAGATTCAACATGCATTAATACCCTGGTTTTCTCACCAGATACTATCTATCGATTCATTTGTGAAAGCTTGTTAAGTACAATATAAGTAAATCAGTAAATGTCGAGTGATATCTATAACCGAATAAATTTTTGATGTACTACAAAAATTTATTCAAGGACAATCCATGTGCTTGTCCAAAATCTCAAGTACAGTAATCAGAATATCAAGCGCTTGAGCTTAAAATAATACCTCAAGATTTGCCTCAAGTTTGGCCTATAGTGCATGACTTTCTTGATCAAGATTGTCAAGTATCTCGTGCGCTGACCAAAAGAAGTTCGACTAGGACTATCGTAACTCGCTATAGCTAGCTAACAGAAATAATGAATACACACATAATTATAAGACGACACGAAACAATGACTCGATGTTATGTTTTCTTTTCTCTCACATTATTATACTCAGTTATCAGCGAGACAGCAACGTGACGGTAGTAGCGTAACCAGGAATTCTCGGGTGGTAGGGCAGTGCCCTACCACTTTTAAAAAATTCATTCGCTATAACTTCGATTTTTTCGGTGACCCAAAACAGATCCTTAATTTCTATTTTGTCCAAAAAAGGATAACTGAATGTATCTATTTTTTTATATTAAGTGAAATTATGTGAACAATAAAGAGAAGAGATGAAAAATAAATAAATACATAAATAAATAACAGTTATTTCAACAATATTCGACTGTTTTTGTGCTGAATGGCAAAAGCATCAATTATTTTTTCGTTATCAACAACAAAATCTCTTTCAATTGCTAATAAAGACAAATCACTCAGTCTATCGTCAGACATAGTATTACGTGCACTAGTTTTGATTAATTTCATTTTACTGAATGTTCGTTCTGTTGTGGTTGAAGACACAGGAATAGTCATAGCACCGATAAGAAGATGTATAATCGTGGGAAATGCTTGTTGTAATGGTAAAACTTCAAAATATAAATCAACTATATCTTTTGATTTTGATTGTTTGAGCATAGGCTTTAATACTTCAGCTTCATTCGACAATGATACAATATCACATTGTAACATAGTACATAAATCTGTTAATTCTTTCACCTCCAAAAACGTTGAGCTGTCAGGTGATAAGGATGATATGCCACGAAGAATTTCCATATTGCTTTTTGAAAAACGATCGTTCATTTCAACAAGAATAGAATCAATTACCGGATAGAAAATAAAATCCCTATATTTACTATCATTATCAATTTCTTCACGTTGTCCTATTGTACTTGTAACTGAACAATTTTTAAATCTTGTTGATATTGTTCTTTGTCTTCTTTGTTTAACTTTAACATCAAGATCAATATTATTTTCAACGCAAAATGCAGTTATTTGCCCAAATAGCCTAGAAAATTCTTCTTCACTTCGAAGTTCATTAATTTGATTAATAACAGCACTAATCAATGTATGCGCTTTGCCAAAATCAATCGATTTAGCTAGAAAAATTATAAAAAAGGATGTAGTTCACGAAAAAAAATAGAAAAGAAGGATTATTATCAGTTCAAAAGAAAAGGCTTACATTTTAATTGATCAGACAAGATTTTTATTTTACCAAGTAGACGATGTAGAATGAAAATAGTTACAACAAATAATGGTTCTTTTAATGCCAATAATAGACCTCGTGCATCTATTGAACGTTCTGTACCTTTATCTACTAGTTCTTCTAAACTTTGATTTAAAGCTTTATAATTTTCAATAACAGATTGAATGGATGCCCAACGACTATCTCATCTAGTTTCCGCCCATTTTTTGATTGTGGCGATGGAAAGAATAGAACAATCTTATAAGAAAAGAAGTCGCATTCATTACTGTTGAATAAACATGATATATTCTCACCTATCTTCAATTGTTGTTGAATCTTTTTAAAAGTTTCATTCGTAACACTTGATGTATGAAAATAAGTATAAATTTTGCTAATAATCGAATAAAACTCCGATAAATAAGGAACACTTTTCGTAACATTACAAATAACTAAATTCAGCTTGTGTGCATAACAGTGCACGTATATCGCATTTGGAATATGTTGTTGACGTAGCAATGCTTGAACGCCAGCATGCTTACCTGATAAGACGGAAGCTCTAGAAAAAAAAAGAGTTGCAACATTTCAGATGCGGCGTAATTTAGTCAAACTATTAGGCATAAACCACTCACCCATCGAAGCACATAGCAATACAATAATTTAAGTCAATATTTAAAGACGATAAGAATTTGACAATTTCATCTGTCAAGGTTTGTGCATCAAATTCATCAAGTTTTACAAAACCAAGAAAATACTCTTTGAATAGAGATGTCAGTTGATTTTCATCACTTGTTTTTATTTCAATATCAACAACACGTAAGACTACACTTAGTTGCTCATGGCCTGACACATCACGTGATTCGTCCACCATAAGAGAAAAAACACATCCTTTAATCTAAAAAAAAGAAGTGGAAACAAAGTATATTAACTTCTAGCGTAGTTAAGGCTTCTTTCCTTCTCTGAAATTTGTTGCCGAATATGTAAAGCTAATAACGAAATTAACTCGTTTTGAATATATGGGCTAAGATAAGTTGAATTTTTAGCACTATCATTTAAAATAGATGAAGCAATAGGATCAGTACCACTGGTCCAGTTTAACAGTTCGATAAAATTTCCTCGATTAGCTGACCTACCAAAGAATAAGAGAAAATGAAAATCAATCAATTTATCTCTTCAGATTAAACTCACGATTCACTTTCTAAGTGACCACGAATTGCAATCATCTGCCTGCAGCATAAATGTAACGCTGAAACAATTTTAGCTAATTTTTGACGATTTTGTTTTATGATTTCAGTTCTTGATCTATCTATCACTTGTAAAATCGATGAAGCAGAGTTTTTACGTGAAATATATTCTTCGAAATTAACATGTGCTTGTATATGACTTTTAGAATATTGATGTTTTAAAAATCCTTGATTGGTACTACATGCATGCTTCCAGCTGTTAAAACCACGTACAAATGCGTCACTTTGATTCTAAATTGAAATGAAAAGGACAAACTGATTTAGTTATATAATAGATAAAGAAATAGAATAGGAAAAAAGCCATGGGAAAGTTATCTGTATATTAAATGAGCGTCTCTTACTCGGTTATTAAAATTTGTTCTAGTATTGAAGTGTCTACAATAGTAGCAGTAGGCTGCGTCTGCTTGAATTGAGTACTCCAACCAACGAAACTGAGAGAACCATTGACTGCGAAAAGATCTGTTATGTTTGCTTAATGGATAAATCGCAAGTTTCGGCTGTGACGGAGGTTCATTACATGAACAACTAATATCAACAGTATTCGGTATTGGTTTATTTGATGATGAAAATAATGATAAAGGAGATTCCAATAAAGATGAAACAACTTTTTCTTGTTGATGTTCGCTAGATGATGATAGTAATAATTCAGGAGATTTTGGTAAAGATGAAGATATTTGTTCTTGGCGTCGTTTACTTGATGGCGATAACAGTTGAGGCGATTCTAATGAAGATGAAGAAATCTGTTCTTGTTGTTTACTTGACGATGAACACCATTCTAAAAAGGATTTTGATGAATATTTTTAAAAATTTGTATCTTTTTGTTTACTCGACGATGGTGATAATAACCGAGGAGATTTTGGTGAAGATGAAGATATTTGTTCTTGGCGTCGTTTACTTGATGGCGATAACAGTTGAGGCGATTCTAATGAAGATGAAGAAATCTGTTCTTGTTGTGTACTTGACGATGGTGATAATAATCGAGGTGTGGATGAATATAAAGGAAGTTGTTCTTGTTGATTTGTACAAGATGTTGAATCAATTTGAACAATTCCATCTGATTGAGAAACAGTTATTTCAATTGAAGTTAAAGAGTTATTGGATTTTCGGTTCTTCTTAGTATGCGACCTGAAAAAAGACTGGATAGTACCATGTTTCGGCTCTTTCAAAAATGGTTCCATCTGTGAATTATAGAATTTTTATTTTTAAATTTCATTTCTTAAGTAATCCTTTGTTCACTTTCCTACGCGCTCCCGACAGAAACAAAAATTAAATCAATGGTAGAATGGATGCTGCTCACGTAGCAATCTGTCTATATTGTATTGCATAGATGTCACTCACAATCAGGCTTTTCAAACATGTGTACATGTAACTAGCATTAAATAAAAAAACAGAAATCTTATAAATTTTTATATTTTTTCCGGGTGGTAGGGCAAAGACTGCCGGTGGTAGGGCGGCGCCCTACCATGCCCTACCCTGGTTACGCCACTAAGGGTGATAGAGAATTTCCAGCTCTAGTAGAATACATAATTGCTTTTTTCAAAAGGTAATCCTATAGTGTTGAAAATTTTTAAAAACTAATGTTGATGGCAGCGACAAAATCAAGTCTGTGGGAATCTGGACATGAGGGTGTCTTCATTCCACTTGATTAACTTTGCAGCAAATAAAAGCAAGGTAAAATAAAAATACACAGTTTGGTAGAGAACCCCAAGCGCTATCAAATGGTATAATTAATTTTTCAAACATACCCTTTTAGAGTGTCAGAAGACCTCAAATACCGAGTACAGCTTTTGCTTTCCAGAGGTATATAATAGTTAATTCTTTAAAAGGAGATGATAAAAAAAATTTGAAAACAAAATGTGTTTCAAGTGAAGTACATTTAATATCAATATTTGATATAGTAGTTAGTAATGATGTTTTAATAAAAAAAATATTTTCATATTTTTCTTATTGGTCTAGTTTAGACATGGCAATACATATGCAGTATTTGTATTAAAAGTAACATTTAATTGAGGGCCTTTTAGACGATGTTGTTCAACAAAAATTAGTTTCCTGGCACTCATCTTAACTTTTTAAAATTTCCCTCTTGATTATCTGCGTTCTAGTTATCCAATTTAGAGATTTAATTAAAATATTTGATTAAATCTAATTGTTGACTTTGATGACGTACTTGATTCTTAATACATTAATAATCGAGATTGCCAATAACATCAGTTTGAAAATGTTTTTCTTATTAAGAGATCGTCGAAAAACTCTATATCGAATGTAGACACTAACAGTCTATAACATGAAGCATATTGTTTTTTTAAATGTTTGTTTATCATCTATTATTCGAATTCAAAAAACAAAGAACTTGATCTGTATCCGATAAAAAAAATTTTCTCGTTATGATGCTGGATAATCTTATGGTTTTTTCAATATCTATTGATTTAAAAGATTTTATTGTTCATTAAACTTTTGTAATTGATACATCTTTGAATATTGCAATAAGTATTATGCAATTTCATAGAACAAGAAGCATTTGCTGATGATGAAACAACATCATTTATTGGTGGTTCTAAGCGAGTTCACAAAAATTCTTTTGAATTAAAATCAAAGAAAAAAAGAAGTACAAATAAATCTTCGGTGACACGATGTGCAAATGATTCAAGTAAATTGGTATGGTATGCTTACTAATCATTTTAATTCTGTAATTTCAGATGATGAAAATTTTGAGATTGATGTTATTGAAAATGATCATATTAAAAGACAAAAGACACAGAAAAACACATCTGGCTAGTCTTTTCATATAGAAGTAACACGATGAATAATTCGCTTATTTATGTTTTAGGTTCAAATGTTTTAGAAGGTATTGACAATCGTATCAATGAATTGAATCAAAAATTGATAGCCAATTCATCTAAATTCGATCAACAAATGCAAAAGCTTTACTCGAAAATTGATCGTTTAAGTTCAAATGTTAATATTGTAAGACACTTATAAGAAATTTGTTTCACAACGCTGCCTTTCACAGTTCATCTAAATCATAGAATGATTTTATTTCGATTAATTAATTATTAATCATTAAATTGAATAAATATAGCTGTAACATTAAGTTTAAATCTTTGAAGAGGATCATATCTAATTCACTTTAAGCTTTAGTGGAGGAAAATATCGGATTAAAATCGTTCAGTTTGTTATTCTACTTTCTTTTTATCATCAAAGCTCTTTTTCTGTTTTAGAATACACATGCTCTTGAGCCGTATATCGATAAATCTGGTGAACGATTTCAAGATAAGCTAGTAAGTTTTCCAAAGAATATATTTTAACTAAATTTATTACGTTCTTTCTTGCTTGTATTTAGATGTTTAAAAATATTAATTTGCTTGGAGTTATGGCAACGGACTATGGCGATTATTCTCGACAAATTCTACGAATAATTTTTACTGGAGATGAATTAAAAACATGTATTCTACCACCTGGTAAAGCACATCTTACTCGAGAACCACTTGATCAAGAACGATTTACAATATTCCTTGGTATGCAAAAACTTTCATTTGACTTTCATCAATCATGAAATTTCATTTAAACTAGATGCAGTTCGATTCAAATTCAAATTAGATTCGGTCAATTTTGGTTTATTTTATAAAAGTTTATTACGGCGAAAACTCACCGACTTTTTAATTGAAGAAAGGCGTCGAGAAGATGTTCAAGTAACTCGATAATTACTTAAACAGAATACAATGCAACGCACTATAGCCAGTCCAGTCCCTCATGAATTCGATAAATGAACATATTTTTTTTAATTGAGTTGTATTTTTTTATTGTTATGAAACAATATGATTTTGTAAATACTAAGATAGATGAAATAAATACCGATTGGAACCTGGTATAACTAAATTCACTGAAAGTGAAACAATCAAAAAAAATTATCTTTGTCTAGTACAAAATTCATTAAATTAGATAAAAACTAGTAATTGGTTCCATATAAGATCTTTAAAGAGCCATCATACGATGATTTACGACAGTGTTCAATCATATTTACGATCGTATACGACAAGCGTAACACGCCGTATTTCGTCGTATACGACACGACGACTTACGGTCGTAATTCTAGAGTCAAGTAATACGACGAAATACGATCGTCGTAACGTTCATCCTGGGATTGTACTGTTCATTGGTCGTCATCTTGGTGTTGTCGGTCTAAACCATCAGATAAATACGATTTATCAATTCTTCAATTGTCTTTCGCTTACGGTTGTCCTTAACGCAAAAATGCTGATTAAAAGTCTAATACATACTAGATTAAATCTAAAAAATTGTATTTGTAATGAATTATACACATTGACTAAGTTACTAAACTTTTTACTTAATATTTTTCGTCAAGCAATGTACTCCGATATTCCCTAAAATGTTGTTTGTATAATTTTTGTTTTATTAGCATTTCTGAAGTCTGCATATATATAGAAATTCCTTTGATATTGATTGAAAGCTCATCATCCTAAACTTTCTGGCATATGAGCTGCTATTCATGAGTTGGCACTGTACTATGCGTTTAATAAAATTGTAACAACCCAGAAAATTACTTCTTATGTTTCTGTTCTGTTATTGTTATTATGTTTCTAAAATTTGTCCTCAACCAAGCCATTCAATTTATTGCTAGTTCACACTTTATACTTAGCGCATAAGTGTTGTACTTGACTTAATTCTTGCTTTTCTGTTATTGCTTTGCTATTTGCCTATTTAAGCATGCACTTTGTATGCAAGCGGCGCGATGGACGATATGAAAAAAATCAATAGAGCGCAATACCATTAGCACTAACACTTCTTGTATCTGAAACTCGTCACAGAAATATTTAAAATTTATAATTAAACGCTTCGATAGATGGGTGTTCTGAAAAATAGAAAGTTCTTTAGAACTTCAATTATTTTGTAGATGTTTTTTTTTAGAGCTTTCAAGATTGATAAACAGAGTGAAAGTTCATCTCTCTGTCACAGTAATCATCAGATCAATTTTTCTGGATGCGAAAACGCAAATAAAATAGTAAATAACTTATTTATTGTGGTCTATGTAACATTACGTCGATGGTAAATCCGTTGAAAAGGCAAATATACTTGCCCATAAGTATATTAGGTATTGCTAATTAGAAGAAGTCTGAATTTCAGCTTTCAGAACTACTAAAATAAAGTGACCAGTGAGACAAGATTATAGATCCAAGTTTGAACTCGAATATGTTGTCACATTTAGGTATAACCAGATCGAAGTCCGTCATAATCGTTTCGAAGCATCCGATGTTTTGCTGTATCGTGACAGGCAAATGGTATTCGTAGTTTTCGACAACTCATATCATATTGGCACCATTTGTACACCATTTGGCCAATCTCTCAACTGTACCGATCAGCTAATTGCTTGGCAAAATGCATCATTAGCCACGACAGACTCCCAGTTCGAAGGGATTACTTATAACTCAATCAACGATACCTATTTCGTCGCACAAGAAACAATCCAAACCGAGATGAAAGAAGTTTTCCAGGCTAATATTTTTTAGACTCGTATCATACTTACAGATTCTACACCTATTCGCGTACTGGAATCTTGTACAATCAATTGGGACTTCACAGCAAATAATAAGGGTATCGAAGGTCTCGAATTTATTACTCATCAAGGTTCTGGTCACAGTTATCTGTTGGGATTATGCGAAGTTAATGATTGCGATCCTAAATCAACATCAAACAATAATGGACGCATTTTAGTGCGTGAAAAGAAGGAAGCTACTAAAACACGCAAGGAAAATTGTTTTAAAGAGATCTATACTATAATAAAAACATTTTCAGTGATTTGCAGTTGGGACCCAGTTGGCACACTTGTTATACCATCAGCGGTTCATTTCGACGACTATTCATCTTCGTCAATGTACCATCGAAAAGAAAATGAGTTGCCAACGCATGTTGCAGTGACCAGTCAAGTGATGAGTCAAGTGTGGGTCGATATGATTGAAGAGATCAATCAAGCACCTTTCTTTTCACTTTCACCATTAAATAATAACACCATTTATGCTCTGCCAAGAACACACATAGTAACATCAGAATGTGGAATAAGATATGGCAATATAGAAGGCGTAGCATGGCAAGGTAGAAATGAACTCATTTTTGTATCTGACCAGGCCAAAAATGATCAAGGTACTCAATGTATTGAGAAAGAGCAGAGTATGCACTATTTTTTTTTGCCTTAAAATTTCTCAAACTAAAGAAAACGTATTTCACCTTTAAATAATTCATTGTAAGAGTGCGCTTGTTTCAATTGAAGTATAATTTAATAAAGCGATTAATTAATGAAGCTCTATGAAGATCTTATTGCGTTCGGTTCTATGATATAGTATGCTAACAAATGTAACGTGAGATGACAACAGTTTCACCAAAGTCTTGTGATCTTATCAATAACAATTCATATATCATAGGATCGATTAAAATTCAGTTGACATAAAATTATGTTGATCCAGACGAGCCTGTATGGAAAGCCATCCAGTTCTTGTGTACACGAAAGTATTTCAAATGGATGCAATTAAAATCAGTATATGTGAATCTGAACTGACATTATCGCTTGATTCCTCTTGCCACTAAATTTTATTCAGGAACTATGCACCTAGTCAACAACGAGATTTTACTTGGTAATATGAATAACATATTCACATGATTGAAATGCTTATTTCAACCGAGAAAATTGTGTGAACTGTAAAGAAAAGTTGGTTCATAGTCTATTTGTATAGACATGATACAGAAGCAATTTTCATTGATTGTTCAATGACGAGACAAGTATCGTAATAGTTACTCCTTCGAAATATGAAACGACTTTGTTTTGTTTGTCTTTTTTTTATTGATTATAGGTTATGCAATTCGAATCAGTTCACATTAATTTGATGGCAAGATTAGAATAGATTCGGATTCAGTAAAGATCTTGTGTCTGGTATAAATGATAACCACAAAACAAATGTTCATATTATGCAGTATTCACCAAAACTACTGAAAATATACTATTTACAAATTTTACAGACACATATTAGTCTAGCATCTTATGGTGCTTGGCAAAGTGAAACGATCAAGAAGTAGGAATAAAAAGAAGTATCGTTTATTGCAATCTTAATAAAAAAAAGCATATTTCTCGTAAGTCGGTCAGCACACAAAAGTCTATGAAAAATTATAGATGTTTGCAGATTAAAAAAAAAGGCAGATTCTTGCATAGCGATGCGACTGAATCAAAGTTTGAAGATGGACACGTGCTATCCTGCTGTTTTTACCTGTTCGACCTATATAAATTTTGATAAGTCAGAACATTTCAATGCATTCTATTCAAAAATAGTTCAATAAAACTAAAGCACTGTCGATAATATGTATGTCAAATTCGAATCATATGTAAAAGAGCAATATTAAGTCAAACAAGAGTATGAGGATGAAGATGATGTTTCATCTAAAACTTATCTGCATTCTTTTCATGCGATGTCTCATTCAACTTCGAATATAAATGAACCTTTTAATCCTCTGCTTCAATTCGAAAATAATAAATCGACACTTCCATGTGCAAGTAGAGAAAAGGAAACGAGAAAGTTTTCTGTTGTTTCGTATGAATTCGATTGAGAATTAGGACTATTGTGAGGGCGTGAACTTGAAGAAGGGACTGGAGTAGAGTGCTCAAGTTAATGATAAAAAAACAGATTTTTTACGGGGTCTCTCCCAAGTTTTAGTTCTGATAATGGAATCATAGGTAGTCGTTGTATTGACTAGGAACATTTCTTTTTTCCAACTAAGAAAACAAATATTGTTCAAGTGCTTCCATTTTGAATTTTGCTGGATGTATAAATGGTATTATATTTTTCGGAATAGATAGTTCGTATGCGAATATTCATTAAGATTTCAGAATTGAATATCGTTTCTTTTTTATCTAATGTCAAACGATAAAAATTATCTTTCACAATGTAATACGTTAATCAACCTTTCTCGACTGTCGACAAAAGTCAAATTTTGGTAACGATGATTATCTACTTGACATCTACAAAAAGAAATACTAAGCATATTAATGCTTTTTTTTGTATCATGAGCTACATTTGCTCTGTTAAATGAGTAAAAAAAGAATCAAATAGATATAATAATCTTTTTTTTTTGGAAAAGAATGGCAATCCTCTGCATGAGCAATTGTTGACTTTTACTAAATGAAGATCTCCTGAAAAGGTCATAGTATATGCTTGAAAGTTCTAGCGTAGTTTACCACATTCATCATTCGCCATACACCTATAAGATAAATGAGAGCAACAATAAATAAGATATGTCAAAAATAATGGCACTCGATTAGATCAAACAAAACAATATTAAAAATAAATGAGAAGTGTAAAATACAAAGAAAATAGACTTGGAATCTTTCTCAATGCATTAGCACCTCACGAAAGGAACTCTTCAAATTGCACTACATAACGAATACTGTAATAAAATGTATTGTATTCTATTTACTTGAGGCTAAGCATTTTGTTTGATGTGCCTTACTAGATTGAATTACAACTGTTCTGAAACACTGCATATTGTGCTTTGGTCATCGATGAATGATAGTAGCAATTGAAGAAATAGCTGAGTAAAATAAGATTGAATCATAACCCTATTACCAAAATATGTTAGAATTTTTAATAAACAACAAGAAGATCTTTTATCTGGTTCCGATATTCAAAAGGAGGAACTATATTCAGATCTGAATTTTAAATCTCAAGAGAAACGGCAAATGGTTACAATTAAAAGTATGAGTTTGTTGCAAGAATAAGTTTAGTCGATTTCCGTTTCTCTAAGACTTCCACAACTCCTACTCATACTTCAGAACGATAATCAAGATGGAATTCATGGTGCGAAAACTTCAATTAGACAGATCAGCATGACATTGAATGTACAGTAAAAATTGAATTAGACACTTGTAAGAAATTTATATGACAGTATATGTTTATGTAAGAATCAAATTTTTTTTTATCTATTGTATGAATAGTTTTTTCTGATTCTTTTTTACTATTCAGATTAGAATTGCTAAGCATGCATTGATCGACTTATGAATTTCATCTGCACAGGTTGAGTGTAAATCAGTGAAATCTCCCACTTGATAGATGCATCAGTGATAATATTCATTCGAACAAATAGTTGTCGAATATAGATTTCAGCTATATAGATAAATTTATTACAAAAAGATATAAAAACGTGTCTTTCAACATTCATACTGTGCCTCCCTCTGTCCGTAAAAATGCCTTCACAGTGATATAATTGGTGAATACAATATGAAGGAGGAGCTGTAATATATTTTATTCTATTTTATTTCTAGTTGATGGTTGATGTGGAAAATTTAATGAAATTTAGCTTCAGCTAATACCATGTATTTGTCAGACGAAGTGATTTATGTGTGTTTACTTCTTGTATCAATACCGATTGGATTTCTTTTCAAAAATTCTCGCCATGCTAATTTAAAAGCGTACTCTTCGACATTAATTGGTTTTATTTTTGCTTTAATAGTTTGTCGTTGGGATGTTTTACATTCATTAGTTACCACTTCAGTAACATGTCTTATATTAGCCGGTGTTACTGCAAGGTAGACGAAACCTATCATTATTTCGAAATTTCTATTGTTCTCTTTGCTGTACAGATATGTTCATATAGCAACATTTGTATGGTGTTTTTCATATTTATTATATTTCCGTACAACTGATCTCTTTTCAATTCGATTACCTGTTGCACATAGTAATGCTATTCAATTAATGCTAACACTTAAAGTAAAGGAATGAAAAACAAAATATTCGCTTAATACAGTGCTGTTTAAACATTTTTGCTTTTAATAGCTTGTGGGTATTGCTTATGAATGGCATGACTCTTACACACGTTTGAAAACTATACGTGCACAACATAAGACTGATGAAAGTGAAAAATTACATTTACAAGATATGTATTTATCTGTGAAACCATCTACTATACGAGTATTTCAATATGCTTATTGTTATATTGGCCTTCTAACTGGTAATTTTTCATGTGAAATGTTGATAATGAAAAAACTTCTTATCTTTTCCGTTTTGTTTAGGTCCGTATTATCGTTATAGAACATATCATGATTGGTTGGAAATGAAACATGGAGTACATATACATGGTTTAACATTTATGAGAAAACGTGCCATATTTGGTTCAATATACATATTAGCTTATTTACTTTTATCTGCTCTTGTTTCATTTAATGTAATAATTTTTAGAGTTTTGTATATATATGGAATATTTTTAAAATGATCTATTTTTGATTAGGATGCACTTGATGACAAATTTTATACAAATCCACTTTGGTATCGATTACTCTATATGCCACTTGTGTTTACATTATTTCGTTGTCGATTTTATTCTGCTTGGTTATTGGCTGAATGTATGTGTATGTCAGCAGGTTTCGGAGCGTATCCATTGGTTAGTAAACCTAAACCTGGTGAGAACTGAAATTATATACATATGATATTTACTAGGATTTTTTTAAAATTTAGGTCAAGGCCCAACAGATCTTGCTGCTTTAAAACACGCGTAAGATTAAATTAAAAATTTTAATTGATAATAAATTTAAGAGAAAAAAATTGATATTCCAGTTACGAACAAGCACCGAATACAATAGCTTATGACTTTGAAACTATTCATAATATCGATGAATGGAAATGTGAATCAGCATTTACAGTTAAAGAAGTACTTCGATATTGGAATATGAGCGTTCAGTATTGGATGGCAACATGTGTTTATAAACGAATTAAATGGCGACGAATAGCGTAAGAATTACAAATTTGCTAGTACGAAAAATTCAATCGTTGTTTTGTTTTTCACGATAATTTTAGTCATCCAGCTACTATGTTTGTTTCTGCTTATTGGCATGGTATTCATTTGGGTTATTATATGGGCATGGTTTCAACTACGCCATCTATTCTTGCTGAAAATGCTATGGAAGCTGGTGTACGTCGTCGCATTCCAGTTAATAGCCGATTCATTCGTGTTTATGATATGTGTTCATGGTTTTTTCGTACACGAATGTTTGATTATATGTCAATTGGCTTCATTCTTAAACATTTTTATTATACATGGAAATATTGGAAAAGTGTTTATTTTATCGGTCATACTGTTACTTTGATATTATATTTGATTGGTTTAATTGCAATACAAATACGACCTAGAGGCAAAAGAAAAGAAATCGTTCATAAAGATCTTGGTATTGATGTACAACCAAAAGCACCTGAAGAACAACATCAAAGACTTGAAAACGAACATAAAAAAGAACTCTAATCTATTTGTTTTCTTCTCTAGGAAAAAATGAATCGATTCGAACAATCTTGGTTTTTTCTTCTTCGTGATTAACTTAAAATTCTTTGTTTTCTTCAAATTTTTATTTTAGATCTCTTTTGCGAAAAAAATAAAATTAGTTATTTTGTTGTTATTCAACTGATAGGATATAAGATTTTTGCTTAGGCTATGTTGTTTTATCATGGCCGAAATGGATGTATTACAATCAAAAATTATGCAACAGAGTGAGTGATTTATCGTATAGAAAACATGGATTGTATTCTAATTATTCACAGCAAATGAGAATTGACTAGTAGAAGTATCTTGATGTTTTTGAGAATTAATGTTTCATTGACTGCTATGATAGGCTTAGTGTTTCAGAAAGTAAATGAATAATATACACGTTTAAGACCTATCCATCTAGAACGTTCAAGAAAGATTTACATTCTTTTTTTTTATAATACTCACTTTCAAAATAGATCCAATTTTCTGAATACTCAAGACATGAACGTTGTATTTATAATCAATAGACTATAGGAAGAGTAGCAATCTATTATTCATTCGGAGGATACTCAAAAATTTAGTAAATTCTGTATTAATGTATGAAAAACTTAATATCTAGTTAACATATTCTTTCTGTCTTACGTGAATATCTTCTATGAATGGTTTCTTATGATATTTTATCAATGCTATTTATGAAAAAATATGATCTCAATTGCATAATGAATACATGATGCAATTTTGAAGTTCACCACTAGAAATCTTATGCAATACAGAAATTGCGTGATATTACTCAATTCAAATTTTGAACGCATACGAAAAACTTGATAATGCCGATATGGCACTCTCGATTATATTGCTGTTCTGCTCTACCTCAGGCATATCGCTAGAAAAACTGTCCAATCTACTTCATATATTCTTGTATCTAGCTCGTTCAAAACCACAATCAATACCTTATCAAACAAAGTCTTGTTTGAAATCGAGTACATGTGCAACTGAACAAATTTTATTTTGTCAAAATACAACAGATAATAAATTATCAAAAGTACTAGAATATAAAAATCAACCGATTATTTTCAATCGTTATTCATACGAATTCTATATACCAAATCATCTACTTAAACAAAGTCATGAATGCGTGATAATAGCAGCATTAAATCCTCATTGTTTTACAGTTCAACTTAAACAAGATGCTATTGAATTTGATAAATTTCAACGTGAAATCAATGATTTCTATAATGAACTTGACGATAAACAATACTTACTTGTACCCGAACAAATACACGCCAATCTATGTGTTATGTGTGCCGATCCGAAATCATCTGACAATGATAAAATTTGGAATCGTTCACAAATACTTGATTTCGATTCAACTGATAATACAGTCAATTTATTTTATGTCGATTTAGGTACATGGGATGAATATGTACCAATAAATCGTCTTCGCCTTCTGATCGACTGTTTTCATCGGCATTTAGTTTTCTCTTTAACATGTCGTTTAGCTCATGTATCACCATTAAATATCGATGGAGACGATTTGACATGGTCAAATGATGCCACCCATCAATTTCTGGCTGTTATTGATCAAGTTACACCTGAAATAGAATTTATCTCATTTGGACAAGATGGATGTTTTCAAACGAATCTATTTGTTACCAATTCTGGTCAATATGTGTGTGTTAATGATTATATGATACATATTAAAAAAGCAACAGCTATTGTACAACCAACAAATATTGATGATGACAATCAAACAATTGTTCAAGTATGAAAATTTTTCAAATTTATATGAAAATATAACTGTCCTGGCTCGAATAAGAATCTTTGATTGTGACATTTAAGAAATCAATTTTTCTTTGTAGAAACAATTGCATCTTTTCTTAAAATAAATTGAATCAATCATTCCCATTAAAACTTCATTCTTTTTTTTAGTTTGACAAAAATTGTAGCATCAATATCAATCCACCGATTCATCCAGTTATAGCTTTATACAATCAATCAGGAGAGTAAGTGATATCTCACATATTAGCCTAAAAATAATTAAAATTTGTCTAGAGTTTTAAAACGATCTCTCATTATATCTCGTTCAGCTAGTCTCAATAATTCATTAATGTCATCATCGGATATTTCAAGTAAATCACTTGTTAAAGTTATACATATTCATATAAAAACACACAGCATCAATCAGCAATTAAATAGCGAACAAAAACTACCTATTATTTTTATATATTATCAAAACAATATACTTATTCCTGATTTCAATATATGTACTTTACTTAAAATAATGAATTCAAATATTGACATTGATACTATTCAAGATTATGTAAGAAATCTAAATTTTCATTGTATCAATGTATAAAGAAGATATCCTTTTCTTTAATGCACTATCGATAGGCTTCAGCTATTAAATATCATTCTTTACAAATAACACGGGAATTCAATTCCGACGTGTTTGTGCAAATCGACTCCTTCGTTTATGTTCGAGCTTTGAATATTGTTTCATTATATTCAATTGATTTTGTTCATTCGATTCTTGAATATTTTCATTTTACAATTGGAAATGTATATCTTGAATTAGAACATGCAAAATATGTTCAATTGAATGCACTAGATCTTACTCTTTGGTTTAAAATGAATAATGAAGTAAATAATGATTTATTATTAATATCTAAAAACAATCAATTTCGTTTTGTTTTGTTTTAGCTTGCAGCTGCATCCTCCGACAATTCCATGAAGTAGGTTTTTCTAGATATGATTGGAACAGTAAGAGATCATCCGTAAAAACAGCAACACTTTTCAGAAAGAGGGGAAATCTGGATAAAATACTGAATTTTAAAATATCTCATTCTGTATTGTACTAAGTTCTTTTTTTTTACGTTTTATAGGAAACTTGAAAATGAACAAAAACCAACAGTAAAAAGGCGTCTTCCATTTTCCAATCGGTTAATAAGTTCCACATGATCTATTCCTGTTTTGTTTCTGGTTTAGAGAATATAAGATTTGTGATATGTAAATAGTGTAACTTGTGCAATGATTTTGTTTTTGAAAGCAGCATTTTTTGTGATTTTCTTTTCATTTTTGAAGTTTTTTCTTTGCGCCTTTCTGTTATTGTCTATTTTGCTATGTTATTTTTTTGGCAGAGATTTATTTTGTCTTCTACTTATATAGAAAAAAAATAAACTATTATGAATGAAATCATTTTTATAGATCTATCTAAAATGTCACTTGTTTGTTTACAATTGATGAGATGTAATAAACAAAGACTCTCAATAGGAAATCTATATAGAAAATTTCAAACATCGAATTTATGTTTATCTCAAAATATATTTCATGTACAAGATGAAGCCGATTTTCAAACGCAAGTTCTAGATAGTAAAAAAACATTTCTAGTCAATTTTCATGCTAGTTGGTAAGAATTTGATATATTTACATGATGATAAAAGATTTATTTTTAAGGTGTGGACCATGTAGAATTCTCGGTAATCCGTATGATAGCGATTAAGATGAATCTAACTTTGAGTTGTTGTTGTTTTTGCTTTGCATAGCACCTCGATTGGAAAAACTAATTACTAATTATAATAATGATGCAAAGAGTTCAGCTGGTGATCAACATATTGTATTGGCTAAAGTAGATGTGGATAAATTCGAACAATTAAGTAGTAAATTTAAAGTAAAAGCAGTACCGACAGGTAAAATTTTCTTTCATAATACAATTTTCTGTAAGAATTCAATGAAAATTAAAGCACATATCACGTAAATCAGGACAAATCTCTATATCGATGATTCTATTCGGCATTCTTATTGAGATTAGTAATTCAGGATAGTTCATCATGTCTGATATGAAGATATCATCTTTCATGTTGATGTATGCATAGTAAAAAACGGTAGATTGTACATCTATTTGCAAAGATTTTGAGCATTAGTTTATGTTTTTACAGAATAAACCAAAGTTCAAAGCGGAATTGTTGTTTTTTATTACAGCTTTCTTATGTTTCGAATGGTTTCTTTTATTGAAAAAGAAAACATTTCTCTTCTCTTTAGTATTGGCCATTAAAAATGGTAAAGAAATCAGTCGATTTACTGGTCTTATTGATGAAGATCGAATTGAAGCAATGCTTGATGAACTCAATCGTTGAATAAATGAGAAGAAAACAATTTGTCTACTTGTTGTTTCGTTTATATCTAAAAAATGATTTACATGTTTGTCTGTTTTCTTTTTCACTAATTAAAATCGTTCATTTGTCAACTGTGGATATTTCGGTGCATATTGACTCGATGTTAAATGAGTAAGATAATTAATATCCGACGGTAACGGTGGCGCTTGTGGTGGATAAACAGTCATCATAACAGGAACAGATCCTTGATATGGATTAGACGAAAGCGAACAAGATTGATGATGGTGGCTAATAGTCATCGGTAGTATTTTCTGACTCGACGAATACAACGGTGCCATAACAGCTTCAGCTGGTGTTGCTAATTGATATGGATAGGCACTTGCTGCTCGTATATGTATTAAACAATAAATAATTAAATAAATCAGACACGTAACAGCCATAAGAATACCAGCCACAAGTTGTCCTAAGATAAAAGATACACGAGTATTTCCACAACCGTCTGAAACACCATCGACTAAACATTCGATGGGATCCGATATATAACTTGTCCAAGCTAATGTTTGACAGATTCCTTCACTAAAAAAACATTTATTTGGTTCTCGAATAAAAATAATATCAAATCCAATTAAAATAAAAGCAAAAATCAAACCAAATATATTTTGGATGACAGCATGTGTAGCACAGCTTCGTTGCCGACAACAACAAACTAAAATTAAAAAATTGAATGTTTTCACTTATTTTTCTCTTTGTAAATGTACTTGATTCGTCTAGTTTAAATAACGATTAATATATTCGAACAAATTCTTACCGACTGCAAACATAGATATCCATAGGATAGTAAACGGCACTGCTGTCCAAAAGCCAACAAATAAATTTGTTAATTTCATATGAAGAACATTATGTCCGACTTCGAGAGAAAATATAGCAAACGTAGTTAACATTTGTATAACAGCCAAAGTTGCTACAATTGATAAAGGAAATTTATTTTTGAAACGTTGTTCTTTTGCATAATATCCAGCTGTATGTTGTTCGTACATTCTCTAAGACAATATTAGAGAAGAGGAAATAAAAGAACTGTAGTAAATGAATGAAAGGATTTCAATATTATAAATGGTTATATATGTATTTCTTTTTTTTTTATTCTTTTTTTAATGATGATACGCGATCCTGATCTGCTTGTATGTGAGCATGCACATTTGTGATCCAATTTCTATGTGAATTTAATCAGTGAATATAAGCAGCTGCAAAAAAAAGAACACAATGCTAAGCTTTGTTATAGTTAAGCGGAAATATAATCTTGTCGTGACTTAAGAATCATAGGAAATATTGATCGAAAGTTTTTAATTAATGTTATATTATTTTAATTGAACGAATGCATAATATTGATTTAGATTTATAATTATCACTAGAAATCTATATTCACATTACGGTTTCTTACCTTTTTGTTGAAATGAAAAAGCTTCTTTTCAGTTTTTCTTGAACATATTTGTACAAACAAGTACGCTGTGTCAATCGAAGATATGTGACAGTACTATGTTGATAATTGTTCTTGTTAAAAAAAAAAAGATTGACCTAGAGACCATGTGTTAAGTGATTAACAGTCAACAAAAGAAGTCACACGTTCTGTCTAGTCCGTTGTTAATTTAGATGGATATGTTTTGTTATATTACTGTAGCCTATGAATTAATACGCATGTTCTACATTGTATTGATTTATATATTTTTTTCTGAATTTCCTACAAGAGTTTTTTTCTACTTAACTAAAATTGGAACAATTCAGCTGATCGAAGTATTACGCTTTGACTTCGTAAACAAGGTGAAAAATTCATTGCACGACCAATAAAAGCCTAGCAAAATCGTTGACATGCCAACGTCGTTAAATGGAATTTGAACGAAATAGAAATATTGATTGTAATCGATTTAATTATCACTACCATCGATTTGTATTTTAGGGTTTAATCAGATATGGACTAAGAGCTCCGCCTTCCTATTCGGCAAACGGTAGATATGATAATTACTATCATTGACACTATATTGTATGACTAACTTATAAGATCATAGGTCATTGACCTCTCACCGTTGTTCTCCAGGTGATGTCATTATTTTGATTTGAACTTTTCAAAAAACTATTCAGTATTTCTCAAATACATTGTGTTGAACATTCGATTATTTCCTTCTATCATATTCTTGTCGTTTATCAAAATAAACACAATTCATTTCCGATAAATAGCCTTATTTGAATATCATATTGACATGTGAGGAAAAAAATAAAAAGAATAATGAAGTCTATCGAACACGCACATTTACGAGAGAGAATTCATCGATGTTTGTTGAAAGTTTTGTATTAAAACAAACTATTTCCGTTATCTATCTTCAAAACGAAAATTAGTAGATAATTATTGAAGTAATCCGCCTTTAGTTTTATGTCGATGAATGATATGTAAACCGATATTTCTCTTGATCATCATCGAACATCTTTATGAAACATTTTAATTTATAAATTTCTCTCGCATTTTTCTAGAAAAATTCATAGAAACTAAGGAAATCTTTATTAGAAACAGTCAAGTGAACGATGTTTCGCTTGTTACATTATTTATACAATATTGCATTTTGACATGATTGTTCCTTTTCCCCAAAAAACATTTTTACATATTATTTAATACGAACAATTTATTTTATTCATAAAATGTAATGATTATTCTTATTTCGACATACAAAAAAAAATATATAAATATATATATTAAAGCAAATAAAAATAACAAAAGATTCTAAAATTTCAATTCTATTGTTAAACGAAAAAAAAAAGAAAACATCAAATTACATATGATAGATATTTGTAAATAGACAATGAATAAAAGCGATCTTAATTACATGTTTTTTTCTTAATAATGAAAAAGCAATTTCTATAATTGTACATTGTCTTTTGACCTATTCTTTTCAATACAAATAAACTAATAATTATTGAAGTCAATTGAAAAGGTTTCTTTTTTAACAAAAGAAATTCGATTTCATTCGTTTTCTTTAAAAATCAAAGTAACAAATGAGAGTTCTCGAAAATATAGATGTTAAAACCGGATTTCCCAAAGCACGAAGTGCTCTAGTCAATAATTTTATTTTACAAATTGACTGCGAACATTCGCGCTCAGTGATTTTTTACCGGTAAATATATATTCGTATGTTGTTGTGTGTAGTTACCTCTTCTTTTTCAACAAAACATACCTATTTAACAGTTCAATGTTCAACTGTCATCAACAGACCATGACCATTACTATTCATAAACCAATGCACAATAGTTAATGAACATGATAGGCGCGCTAAATAATTGATGACATGATAAGTTAAAATTTCTGAAGCTAATCAAATTCGTATGAGCAAAAGCACACAAAAGAAGGAAAAAGAAAAAGAAAATAGTACTCAGTTGGATGCCCCATCGTCGATGTGTCTCTTTCTCTTTTCGATGTGCGTATGTGCATATAATTGCATTAATTCATCTCGGTCTTTTTCTTTCTCTTTCTCTCTCTCTCTCTCTCTCTCTCTCTTCTCTCTTGCTTTTTCTCTGCGACATTTCACCTTTTCGTCGATGTGCAGCTCTTTCTATTGTATGACAAAAAGTCGCCTCAAGCTACGGTGAGAGAAAAGATGACTGACTGACTGACTGACTGACCAACATCAATACAAAACGATCTTTCTAAAATGAATAAATGGACAGTATTTTTCGCGATTTTGTCAATGCATTAAGCCTAAGGCAGATTTTTTTGTTAGTTTGGTCATGAAAGCGACAACATGGACGACTCTTTTCAAGCACTCCTATTCTCTCTATATCTTATGTGCCACACTACTATCGAACCAGTTTCTCAAAAAAAAAGAAGAAAATGGGTAAAGAGAAAGAAAAAAAAACATATGCCTCACGTCTTTCTCTGTTTTTTTTTCGTTGTCGACATGAAGAGCAAACATACGTACATGCATCACAAAATAACCTACTTACTATTACTATTCGATGAGAAGAAAAGAAAACGAAGACGACGAGAAAAAAAAGCAGAAAAAAGGCATGTCATGAGCGCCGTATACAAGTGTTCGTTTCGTTGTCAAATTATGTCTCTCTTCTTTATTTACCATTCATCTTTTTTTTCTTTACTTTCTTTCTCTCGTCGCTCTCTTCGTTCGTTGATGGTCAAATGTTTGCTTAGGCAGGTAGTTATATGAAGTAGCTCACCCAGATGAATTTTGTCATCGTTGCCAAAGCCTTACAATTGTTCGTGCTCTTATACACAGAGATATACAAGAGGGCACTACTCTTGTTTCAGTAACTGCACTCACAAGTGCAAATAGAACAATGCGTTCACCTATATATATACAAAAAGAAAATTGATCACTGGATTCGAAATAAATAAATATATAGAAATAGATATTCTATGTCTGCTTGTCTTTCTATTCTTATCGTTAAAACACATTTATTAGGGATAATTGTGTATTGAAAATGGGCAATGGTGATGATGAAGAAAAAAAGAGAAAGAGAGAGAGGTATAAAGTATGATTGTAACCCGCCTTTTTTTTATCTTTTCGACTTTATCAACAATACCAACAGAAAAATCATGCATCAAAACATGCACATGCATTTTTCATTTTAACATTCGTCTGTGTATGTTTCGTTACTTTTTATAACTGCTTCGGTCGTTATTCTAGTGTTGACTTAAATCCCATCCTGTAGTAGAAAAGAAAAATCGAAAGAGAAAAGAACAGAATAAAAGACACTTAACAATTTTTGAAATGGAATGTTAATAATTGTCACTAGGTTGAATATATCGAGTTATTTGATTAAAAGGACGAATGATAGTTTATTGAAATAGGATAAACAGTAGAAGACAATTTTCACCGTAGAGTTATTGTAAATAAGAAACCGTGTTAATGATTTGTTGACATAAATTTGGTTGTTTTTTTCTTATTTAGTTTACTTGTATTAAATTAAAACGATGAAGATGAACTCAAAATATTAAAATAAAAATAAAATATGCAATATTTAAAGTTTTTCAAATGGATTTCTATTGGAGAATATAGATTTTTGATGAACTCAAATTGAATTGTTTTATGACATTCGCCAATTGTCTCCTATAGTAAATATAATCAGATCAAAGAAACAGAGATAACTTTTTTATTTTTAGTAATTTTTAAAACTAAGATATCAGTCACTAATATAATACTAAAAAGAAAAAAAAACGGCTTATAAACGGAAATCTAATACTTCATTTTTATATGCGTCATATCGAAGGGATATTTTAAATATCAGCTTGAGGAAAAAACGATTTTCCTAGTAGCATTAGTTCATTTATGTTCTCAGAGAATTATCGAAATATTTATTTAGTGTAATGAAGGAAAATATGTCAATGTTCGTTTTGCGTGATATTATCTAATTTTAATTAAATAAACAGATGTTCTTTCGAAAAATTTATTTTTATTTTTCGTTCAATGTCAACATGTTGATTGCTACACATTGCTTTGCAATTAAAATGCTATTAATATCGCTCGATCATACTGTTTTGTTGATCAATCTCAATTGACCGTTCAATTTTGTTAACTAGTTTTTCGTTCTAAATTATGAATGGCGATACGAGTAAATTTTTTCCATCCATAAAGAAAATATTCACTCGAAAAAATCTCAATGAGATCTCGCTTATAAAAATAATGTTCCGAATTTTTGAGTAGCACATCTCCTCAAAAACGTAAACTTATCCTAGATATTACGAAAAGTATGAAGAGTTTGAAAAATTTAGATTTCTGTATAGAAAGCAATAAACACATCCGTCATTTTAGTATTATTCTAATTCAGACATGTTTTGTTGCGAGTCACAATTTCTCACCATGGCGAAGACGTAGATCATATGAATAATCACAGTGGTATTTAATCAATATTCTTATAGTAATCGTATTGCTTTAATATTAGTGAGTAAATGATTAGGTTTTATAAATGATCGCATGACTTGTACTATTTTATTCAAGTATAACCATTCTGTTAATATCTTTCGTTGGCTAAGACAGTATTCAATGTGAAGATCGAAAGGATAGTACTCTTTTACTACTTATTAGTCATCTATACTCTAAAACAAATATAATATTCGCTCTCACAAAGGACTAAATTGCCGCTTCTGATATGAAAATCGGAATGAGAAGTTTGTTAGTATGATATAATTATAGTATTATTTCAACTTCATAAAAAATCTTTTATTTAATTAAATAATTTTGTACAAAATGTAAACTATTGATTCTCGACACCATTAACAGTTCCGACTGTATCACTGATTCCAATAACAACATCATTTGATTGATTGGTTTGATCTTCAACTGAATTATCGTAACTGTGCAATAGTGACGTCTTTGGTTTATCTTCAAGTAATGATTGAATGCGTTTTCCTGTATAAAGTTCTCTTAATTCTCCGCGACATATGCCAGTAATAATTGTTGATAAGAGTATACATGGAACTAAATAAAGAAGTGCTGGTTGAGCAGTATTCATTAAATACAGCGCAATATGTGTTAAAGATAAACCAATAAAATAAGATATCATTGATTGTATATAATAAATAGACCAACGATGGTCCATTGCCATATCAAATATTTTACAGAACGTTAATAGAATACCCTAGATAACAATGAAATTTATATTATTAGACAAAGAGAAAAAGCAAAAAATCAATTACCGGTAAAATAATATCACCGAAGCCAAGCATTGACTTTCTATTTGCCATACAAGGATCCATCTCTGATTCGGGTATAAATGAAGGTAAAGCAAACAAAAGTGGAACAACTTCACCATCGGCTCCGATACCTAAAGCAACTTGTTCCATAACAGATGGATTTCTGGATACTTTTTCAGATGCTTTCAAGTTGTGAATATTTGATGAAATGATGGACGATATCGTCGTTGTAATATCTGTTATTGTTGATGTCAATGGTTTCATAGTTGTTGCTGTTGTTGTTGTTGTTGTTGTTGTTGATGCATTTTTTGGATGTGATGGTTGAAAAAATGAAATATAAGGCGTTATGAAAACAAAAAATATATCGTAAAGAAAGAAGCCAAGTAAAATTAATGTAATAACACGCATGTTTCCAAGTCTATAAACTGATATAACTGTTACACAAACAGCGGCACCAAGAATATCTTGTAGAATCCATGCCCAATCAGCTAGACGAAATACATACCAAGTGACAACAGTAGTTAATGATAGAATGATTGCGCACAAGGTAAAAATATTTATTGCACTTAATTTACAGGCACATGGCTTATGAAAAGTTTGTGGTTGAATATGATAGCGGCGAAGTATTGGAGCAAAATAACTCAAGCGAGTAAGACATGTAATTAATGAAGAAAAAGCACCGATACAGAAAAGAGCTAAAACAAAAACATATACATTTGTTTTTAAATTATTATTTGAATAAGATTAAAATTTAAAGAAGCAAATCAGATGACGACGTAGTATAAATTTATCTTATAATAAGCATAATTTTCATTGTCTGTTCAACATTTACATAAGTAACTGACAAGTTACATGGAAATCATTCGCAGGTTTTTTTTTGTCTCAATGATCGATTCAACTGAATGTAACTATTGCTTTGAAATTGATCTCATATTAAAGTGAAAATTATCGAGTTCGATTAAAAGGGAAATTTTAATTTCGTTACAAATCAATACGAAGAAATGTTCAAGACGAATAATTTGATTCATTAACTGCCTAATCAGTGAATCATATATATCAAAACGGAAGAATAGAAAACTAAAAAAAATAATTCTATTCTGTGCCTTAAAGAACCGATCGATCTAATATAATTACTATATGTCTTCTTTTTCATGAATTGCATATATATGCAATAATTAAATTCAATAATAATAATAAAACAATTCGTATGAGTCTATTTTTACAAACATTACCTTGAAGAATGTAGACCATAACTTTGGGAAAATAAAAAATAAGTAAAAGCCATCCAACAGCAAAACATAAAATAAATACAATAATACAATAGGACAAATGAAGAATCGGTGGTTCCGTATTTCGTAATGATCTATTATCGCCATCATCATGAGCATTTGTGGTTGATTTTGGTATGATGGTTTCTTGTGCAGGACTATCTTGAAATTCATTTGCTGTCGGTATTGTATTTAAATTGGATGGTACATTTTGAGTTTTTGGATTGTTTTTTCGCATTTTACTCATAAATTCATCAGCAGCCCAATGATTTCCACATAGTAATATAATGAAAACAAGTGCAAACATTAATAATGTAGCTGGACGAAATTTTCTTGGAATAACAGGAGCATAATTCATTGATATTTCAATATCACTCATATTAGTATATATTTTACTGATTTTATTAAAATCTTTTTGCACTAATATAAGTACAGGTATTGATACAGGCATATCCGTTGTATTAAACTTTAATTCATAATGAGTATTTGTGCGATTTGTTAAAATTAATAAAGATATATTTTTTCCATATTGTTTTTCAACATGCCATGCATGTTCAGTCATTTTACATTGATGCTCATAAATAATAAGAGTTGTCAGTATTGGAAATGTTTGTGGTAAAGAGTCAGCTAGATCAGTTATGTTACAAGCATTGACCGATGATGATGCAATGTATGGATTATGCCAACCAAAACTTGTAACATTGATTGTACGACCATTCGGTAATTTAGCAAGTTCAACACAATATCGACGAATAGTTGAATCATTAGATGAACGAACTAATAGATTTATTGAGTCATCACCATAACCAGTAAACATTTGCAACATCAATATCAGACAAACGATGATTGTTGTCGTCATAGTTGTTTTTATCTAAATGAAAAAATAAATATCATGAATTGAGAAGCACCTTTTTCAGTAGTGTTTACATCTTTGGTCTTGTTGGCGTTTCTTTTTTTCCCTTCTTATCTTTTCTTTTCGTTTTTTTACTGCCAACTGTTTGTCTACCACGGCCTGTTGTGTTTATGTGAGGCTGTGCTTTTTTTCATCGACGATGACACATCGTTCTTTTCTTTTCTTTTCTTTTTTCTTCTCTTATTCTTTAGGCAACATCGTCTACCCGCCAGTCAATACTGAACACACATGCATCGTTATGTGAAGATTAACTATTTGCCAAAGCAAAATATAGAAAAAAACCTAATATTGATTTTACTTTTTCTCGATTTATTGCACGTTATTATAGATATGTAGAAAAAAACTTCGTTGCACAAGACGCCGTTGTTTGTTTACCGATCAATGTAAATATTTTCGAAAGAATGTGGCAAAAGCACTTTTCTGTTTCTTTTTCGTATAGCATATAAATATATTTTTTGTGGGATCGAATGAAAGAATGTATTGTGTTTTAACGTGTTTTGTGATCAAAACATTTCACCTTGATTGAAGATTTCAAATGAAATGGATATTCACTATTATAATCCCAAGTATGAGACAGTTCAAGCTAAACAAATATGATCATTACGTTTGACTGTCTTCCAAAGTTTACATAGAATTATTGAAATCCTATTTGTCGTCAGAAGTTCACTAAAATTACAGGGAGAAAAAAAAGCTTTCTATCGGGTCGGTCATAATGAATGGCGGTCTCATTACAGATTGGATATCTCCCCAACCATACAAGATACTGAGTTGTTTTTTTTTCATTCGATAGAGGCTGAAATTTTCTACAGAACAATAAAAGATTCGAATAGATTCTCTGTAAAATTTTCCACTTTATATCATAAAAAATAAAGATATCCAAAAAATTTCGTTTTTTCAAAATTCCAAAAAAAAGGAGCAGCCGAAGAAGATCGTTGATGATTTGAACGGAACAGTGGCGCTGCCCAGGTTAAAAGCCCACGATCGTATACGACCGTACACGACCGTACACAACGTTATACGACGAATTACGATAATCGTATACGACCGTCGTGCACGGTAATCGCGTACGGCAGAATACGTCTGCATACGACGATCGAGCACGATCGTCGTATACGGTCGTCGTATGCGATCGTGTTTTTGTCGTTTGCTGATCTTGGCTGCAACACGATTTATCGATAGTAATATATATGTAGATATATGAGTTTATTGAAAAAAATGTATTTTTTTTATCTTTGCAATAGGTAAATTGATAATAAATAATTATAATGTAGATAATATTCTTTTGATCAAGACTAGGCGTAATAAAGAAATCTCTATCAAAATTCCAGGTTGATTTTACAATTGCTAACTAATTGTATCATCATTTATTAGATGTTTCAGTAAAATCTAACGGTCTCTTTGATTCTTATGATACATTAATTAGCAATTTTCCTCTCAAAACTCATAACAATTTATGTTCTATGATAATCCCAATCAATGCATTAGAATATATCGTCGCTATCGAACCAATGCTACGATCTATCGTTTCTTGATTTACCATAGACGCGGATCATCCAAAAGTTAATTTTTCGATATTCAAAAAGATAATGAAAAAATTCTGTTCAGTACCATTGAGCTTCTTTACTTGCAATAGCAAAAGCTATGCTTTAATACGTAAATAATAGTTCGAAGTATTTATTTAGTGATTATTTACTCTCTTCTAAATACCATGGTATTTTGCTTAAGGCAATCAATATGAATTTCTATGTACGTCATCCGTACTTCAACTTATAGCGATGTAAATTACTGTGGACAGCATATCGATTATGTGTATCTACTTTTTCTGATTCAGTTGTTGTGGCAACAATCATCTTCATACATGCATGATTGAAAATATGTTTAAATAAAAAGTTTCATTAGAATCTAAATGATTTCACTTCTTTTAAATGAACGAAAGAGAGAAAAAATGAGCGACGAGTTTCTTTTTTCTTCGTCCGATTGAGCGAGAAAAGGATTTGAATAGGAAGTATTCGGCAGGCATGTTTTTCTTTTCTGTTACAGCATTCATATATATATATATATAGATGTTATTCGTGCTTTTCCTTATTTAATATTATCATTGATATATATATACTATATAAAAAATGATTCAAGTAAGGGTTGTGACGGTATACTTATGCTATAATCATTCTAACTTTGTAGTTTCAGATAATGAGAATGTCGAGATCGATGCTATTGAAAATGACCATATGAAAAGAAAAAAGGCATAAAAAAGGACATCAGGTCAATCTTTTCATATGTAAGTAGCATGATGAATCAATTTATGTCTTATTTATATTTTAGGTTCAAATGCCTTAGAAGGTATTGACAATCGTGTCAATGAATTGAATCAAAAATTGATAGTTATTCATCTAAACTCGATCAAACAATGGAAAAAATTTACCCCAAAATTGATTGCTTAAGTTCAACTGTTAATATGGTAAGATACTTATAAGAAATCTATTACATTGCGCTTCCGTTCACATTTAATCTAAATTATAGGATGGATTTTCCCCGACTAAATAGCTATTAGTTGTCGAATTCAATTAAAAATGGCCGAATAGACTACGAATACGCTCATATCTCAATCACTTGAAAAATCAATGGATGAAAATATCGAATTATAATCGTTCAGTTTGTTATTCTACTTTCTTTTTATTATGAAAGTTCTTCTTTTTGTTTTAGAACACACATGCTCTGGAGTCGTACGTTGATCAATCAGGTGGGCAAGTTCAAGATAATTTAGTAAGTTTTTTCAAAAAACATATTTAAACTAAATCTATTTTTTTCTTTCTTGCTTCTATTCTGATGTTTAGAAATATTGATTTGCTCGACGTTATGGCAAAAGACTATGACGATTATTCTCGAAAATTCTACGAATAATTTTTACTAATAAATTAAAAAAATGTATTCTACCACTTGGTAAAGGACCACTTACTCAAGAACGATTCACAACATTCCTAGGTACGCAAAAACTTTCATTTGGCTTTCAACAATCATGAAATCTCATTTAACCAGATGCAGTTCGCTTCAAATTTGGATTGGATTCGGTCAATTTGGTTTATTTTATAAAAGTTTATTACGACGAAACCTCGCCGATTTTTTAATTGCCGGAGGTGACCAGAAAATGTTAAACAAACTCAACAATTACTTAACACAATATGATACATTACGCTAGCCACTCAAATCATTTATGAATTAGATAAATGAACATTTGTTGCTTTTAATTGAGATTCATTTTTTTTACTATAAAACAAGATAATTCTGTCTATACTAAGATGGTTGCAATAAACGTCTATTGGAGCTTGATATAAAAAAATTCACTGATAGTGAAACGATGAAAAAAATATTTTGTCTAGTATAGCATTAATCACATTAGAAAAAAACTAGTAAATGGTTTCATATAAGATCTTAAACGAACCATCATAAAATGATTTACGACAGTGTGCAATCATATTTACGATCGTATACGACCAACGTAACACGCCGTATTACGTCGTATACGACACGACGACTTACGGTCGTAATTCTACGATCAAGTAATACGACGAAATACGATCGTATACTGTCGTTTACGGCGTCGTATACGATCGTTTACGACCGCCGTAACGTTCATCCTGGGTGCGTACAATCGAACGGTGGTGCAAATTGTTTCGTGAAACTGGCTCAGTCGATCTGAAAAGATCGCTTGGTCGTCCACGAACGATTCGCACAAAGCCAACCATCCAAAAGATAAAGAGAAAAATGAACAGAAAGATACCGCTATTAGCGACAAAACTGGCGGCTAAGTTGAATCTTTCTGAAACTACTGTTCGGAGAGTACTCAAAGAGGGCCTGAAATTCAAACCGTACAAAATGACAGTTTAGCCGTCGTTCACTGATCAGCACAAGGAGAGCCGAAAAAGATTCGCAAAATGAATACGAACCAACTTTCGAAAGGAGAATATGATGAAAATTCTGTTCTCCGATGAAAAGATGTTCGACATGGACGGGACCTATAATTCTCAAAATGAAAAAAATTGGGCTGCTAATCGTGCGGAAGCTGATGCGAAAGGTGCCATCAAGCAAAAGCGAAAGTGCCCACAAAAAGTAATGATCTGACTTGCGGTCTGTTCCCAAGGGGGTTTCTTCTTTGGGCATTTTCGAGGGCGGTACAGTTGATCATGATCGTTATATAAACGAAGTGCTTCCGGTTGCTCTTCAATATGGAAGCAAGGTCTTTGGGAACCATTGGACGTTCCAACAAGACGGTGGTAAGCCCCATACCCATGGAAAAACGCAACAATGGTGAGCAGAACATTTTTCTGCATTTATAGACAAAGACCGATGGCCTGCGAACAGTCCAGATTTGAATCCGCTGGACTACTCAATATGGAACGAGTTTGCATCTCACATTAACTGGAAGAAAATCACATAGAAAAAGACACTAATTGATGAACTAAAGCGGGCTGTTCATAGAATACGCTCAGAGGTTGTTTTTGAAAGTTGCTCAAGTTGGACCGTTCGTTTGTCCCGATTATCTACAAACAACGGAGAATATATTAGTTAAATAAAAAAAGTGCCATTTTATAGAATTTTTTTTCTCTTTCGTTGAAAAAAGTTTAAGTTAATATTATGCTCCATTCAAGAGATATATTATCTACAATGAGACCGCCATTCGTTATGGCGGACCTGATAATAATACGTATTTATGAAAAATGATTGAAAGAGTGTTTATATGCATTGTAACACAATTTAAACAAAGAAATTCAATTCGGAAAATGGAGAAAGCGTTATTGACACTCATATGTAATGCCATGAATTTGATGTCGATGCTAGAGAGATGATTCTCATTATTTATTTACAAATCGAGCGTACTATTAAGAAATATAATCACACAGTTCTCTGGCTAAAACATTCAATATGAGATCTGAGAGTAAAAACTTTCCATAAATCAAAAACGAATTGTCTACTATGAAAAACCTGTAAACAACATATTCTAGTAGAGAATTTATTTAATCAAATATAGAAGACGCTATTATTAGATGTTTTTATTCAAATGTTGTTATTTATGGTATTGACAAGTGTATTATGTAGACCTGTGGGATGTAGGCAGTAGGTATAATTAGAGCGAGAATGAATTGTGTTACTGCCGTAAAGATCATATCTTCAGTATGAAAGTTTATTTGTTGAAGAAGAGTGTGTGAGCTTTCGATATTCTACTGGAATCATCATCAGACACAATATGACGCATTTTATTTTACAATTTTAGTATGATTCATTTTACTAATATGACATCGGTTCTTTCGAGCATGTCTCTTTCAAACAGATGTCATATTAGTAAAATGAATCATACTAAAATTGTAAAATAAAATGCGTCATATTGTGTCTGATGACGATTCCAGTAGGATATCGAAAGCTCACACACTCTTCTTCAACAAATAAACTTCCATACTGAAGATATGATCTTTACGGCAGTAACACAATTCATTCTCGCTCTAATTATGTAGATCATTGTTACAGCCTATAGGAAATAGAATTTAAAGGCTTTAATTTGAGGGAAAAAATTCTGAAAACATAACAAAGGTATATAATTGAATGTGACATAAACGAAAAGAGACCTTCATTCTTAAGATGTAGATTGATAATAGTACTTGAGAGATTTTTAGAATTCAATTGAACGTGTGACTCGTAGTTGATTTTGAATATTGAGTAGACTCAGTGGTTATCATAAAACTCCTGTTCCGAAAATAATATAACATAGGATGTTTGCAAGCTGGAATTTGTTTATTTCATTCGAATAATATAAAGTAGTGCTTTCCTTTTCAAATTCACTTCTTAGACTGTATTAACCTGTCATGTTTGAACGGGAAATATTTTATTTCCATGAAGATACAACATGACTAAAAATATAGTCGTGATATTCATAAAGAAAACGAATTATATTTTAACTTCGATTACTTTCTTCAAAATGTTTTTTTTTCGTATGGAAAACTACTAGTGAACACGGTGAGTATTATTGGTATTTATTTAATTCGAACTTCTCGAATAGTTTTTCTTCACTTCAGATAAACATAATTTACTTTATATCATATAAAATTCAATGTTTCTTCGTCTCACAACGATGTCATTGTTTGTCCATGGCGGCGATAGGAATGTGGCTTTTAGTAGAAGAATTTTGCTACACTACAAGAATTCATCAATTTTATGAAGCAAATGAGCAAAATGTTGAGATCTACCCTAGCGTACGAAACCAGAGTTTCAAGTTCATCGAAGTCTCATGATTTCACTAAAGAGGAGTACAAGAACGAGCATTGATATCCATGTTTTATCTAAATTGATATTGCTCAAATATTTTGCGCACTTCTTTTGTTAGCAAAGGAAATCTTTTTCGATTTGATTGATAAATTATGAATGAAACTATTTATAATGCAAACTATTCTTTAAAATGTGATATATATACCATAATTGTTCTCATCATTATTCTTTTGGCTATTTTTATTTGTCCATGTATTTTATTTTGTGGACGAATACCTCGAAAATATTTCAAATCAAAATATGATTATTTACTACAAAATTGATCTCAAACGAGAATTTCTATGAGAAATATTAGTTTCATTTGCTATTATCGATAAATCTATGGATGACAATAACTAAGAATGCTAACTGATGCAGATAGATAAAAAATGGGTAGAAAAAGCAATTGGTGAAAAGAAACTTGGCACATACATTGACTTGACGGTGTTGATTGCGCTAGAATTTTCCGTAAGCAATACTATTTTTGTGGATCATTCAGGATGATTGAAGTTACCGGTGTAATATGTCGATCGAAGCCCACTGTCGTTCATTTTTACGTTGCAACTCATCATGACTTATGTGTGATTCAAGCATTAAAACATTGTGTGTTGATCAGAAGAAGTGGTGTAATTTTTCAATTCGTGTTATTAGTTCTTATCTAATTACAATTGAGGATTGTTCGAAAGTAATTTCCTTCTTTTTTATTGGTCCATTGCAAATTTTCAGGTCTCTAAGAATTATTTCCTTTCAGAATCTCGATGTCTTTGTTATGCCTTTGAATATCTCAATTGAGAATCCAGATTGAACGATATAGTTCGTTTAAATATCGTATGAGCCACAGTGATGGCGTCTAACCACGTGAGAAGTAAATTTTTTTCTAATTTATTTTTCAGATATGTCAGAGACATGAAAATAACTGATTTTACTTAGTAAGAATTGAACATATGAACTTACCAACACATACACTATACGGTAGGTGAGCATCCTTGTCAATCGTAGGAAAATTTCTATCTTCTCAACTTATTGATAAAACAAAATTTTATACAAAATAATTATTCTATCACTTTCACTTTTCAGACATCTTACTATTAAAGACATTTCGAATCCACTAGCAACACTAAGTCAATGATTCTTATTTTGAATTTAAATGATATTGCGAGTCAATATTAAAAGAATAACATGTACAAGTATCAATATTCTTATAATATAGAGGCTATTTACATATAAAAACAATAGAAATCTTTTGAAATCTGGCCATAGTCGATCTTTCAGTGTTAATTATCGATATACTATCTATTGAATATAGAAACCTAGTTTGAATAGAAGATGTTCTTTATTTTCTGAGTTTTAAAACAAAATCTGAAGCAGTAAATATAATTGAATTCATCACTTGAAACTATAATCACATAATTGTAAAGGTGCCTCTTGAGAATCATACACATTTATTCAATGACGATTATATGTGGATGTAAAATGCATAGCTATTGAAATAACAACAAATATTTTCATTTCAAAATGTTATCTAATCAGACAGGAAAACCTAACCGTGCTCAAAACTGTCCGATAATTGATTTCATTCTTGTAAAGAAAATTTTAAATAGACGATTTTTCATTTAAATAAAATAGGTACCATTTAAATCATTGATGAATCAGGCAAGTGTAGTCTGCTTTATATTTTCAATCGAAATTCCTTTTATTCGTATCCAAGTCAATCAGCATTTAGTTGATTGCAACGTCAAATATTTATTCTGAGGGCGTATGATTTTTTATTCGTTGAAAATAGTTATTTATCGTACGAAAATAATGACACTATTTATTTGCTTTGATGAAAGCTTTCTTTATAAAAAAAAATGTGATTCCAGACCGAAAACACATAGAATCATTTAAAGGAATTTATCAAGTTACATTAAATTTTGAAGCAATGTCCAAATATCTGTCGTTGATTTTCATGTTGATATTGATTGGTAATAGTGATGGATTTACATGCACATGTTATTGCCCTAATTATGTCGGTACAATGGTTCATCATACATGTACACAGGTAGGATGTACTAATGCATGCGCTGTGTCCTACATTTATGTTTGCAGAATGTCATCATCGGTTATCGGGTAAATTTTGAACTAAATTCTGTCATGTCATCATTCTTTTATCAATTTTCATGTAGCTATTGTGGAATGGGCTTGACTATGGCTCCTTATAAAGCATTGATTTTTATTCTACTATCAATGGTTACTTTCATCGGTCACCATATTTTTCAATGAACATCTCTATATTAAGAATTATAGCAAAAACCATTTTCACGACATACCATCGACTCTTTTTATTCGAGCATAGTATATAATTTAACGAATAAATATCTAATGTGAAAAATTCATTTATTTTCTTTTGTTCGAAAGTATGCTTCCGATTTGGTTTACAAACGAATATTCAAAAGTATTGGTGCGAATAAGCGAAGAAAATACAGACCTCATCGCGCTTGGCTTCACCGCGAACTTCCGAATCTTTTATTTCTCAGAAATTTATTAATTTTGTTTTTGACAGTCGTTTCATTGCTACGATGATCATTTAGTGTTGGTGTGTAACATTTTTTGAGCAGAGAAGAAGCAAAGGTTATACAATTATTTCTGTGCACTAATCATTATATGATTATAGAAAAAGAACCTGTTGTAGAAATCACGGAAACAAAAGAAACGCGAAATGTATGACCTTTCTTATTTATTTTTTCATTGACAGTGAAAATAACAACAAGAGCCTTTTGATATTTGGTTTTACGTTTAGAACCAATAGAAGTTATGTTAAACTTGATTGAATTGACCAGTATAAATTAATGAATAATCAAACAATTGTTCATTTGACTTTCTGTAATAAAGATATGATTGATTTAAAAGAATTTTGTTAAACAAAAAACATAAACTGAGAAATACCAGTTATTGAAACTCTTCAAAAGTCAACTAGAGTGAGTTAAAAATGCCAAGTTAACTTTTGATAACAACTAGAAGTTTCTATGATCAAGAATTTTAGACTCATATATCTACATTGTTGAAGTCATGAAAAACAAATAATTAGATTAAATATAATTAATGGCGAAAACAAAAATGAGCGAAATTAAATGACAAAAAAAAATAAAAATTACCATCTTTAACATTAAATTACATGTAGAGTATTGTATTGGCATTTCATACTCTCTTGCTTACACCACTTTTTATCATGGTCAAACTTGTGAGAAGAAATTAGCATTCTATGTTGTCTGCATATTAGCGCCACCTTCACCATTGTTAGTGAAAGCGGCCTCTGTCTTGTATGAAACGCACATGAAAACAAACTTGAGGTTTTGATGATGTCACAATGGCGTTCGTTGTTTTACGGCAAAATAAACTATGATCAGATGTTGCTTACTAGACACGTTGTTGTTTTTTGAAATTCAATTTATTTTCTTTAATCTACTTTAGATATACATTGATATCATCATGAGTTCGGCAACGGCCATTCTCACGTCACTATCGGATTTAACCAACAAACCACAATTGGAACATTATGATCCTAATATTTGTAGGGACATTCATATTAAGCTTGATAAAGAAGCCCGTGAGCAAGGTTTAACCTACCAAGAGCGGTTTGAAATGGTAATAAGATTTTATTATATCGTATCGATGTGATAAACAACAGAATTTTATTTATATTTAGGCACGAAAAAATATGTCTGTTTATAAAAAATGGGAAACCATATTTCCTAGTGGTATCTCTAAATGTCTATGGGAATATTGGAAAGAACGTATGAGTGCGGCACCACTCGATCCACGTTTTCCTAATGTCAATCAAACGAAGTAAAATCAATGTCTTTTGTTTGTTTTGTTCATTGATTCTTTTCTAGGCGATGCTGGGTTAATTATGTTGATTATCATCGTTGTATGGAAATGAAGAACGATGAAAAAGTATGCAGCTACTTTAAATATCATTACAAGGAATTATGTCCACCAGAATGGGTTGATAAATGGGATGATCAAATGACCCGTGAAGCTTTTCCTGGCATTCACGATTAGAGACCTTTTTGAAGTTTCTCTCCTTTTCCTTGTCCATTCATTTTTTGCTATTGTCCTATGTTCCTTCATAAACAACAACTAATGTTTAGAATAACCAAAAAAATTATCATTAAAACTAGTTTTTTTTTATTTCTAACTCCAGCTTTTCAGATTAACTAAAGAAAGAAAAATGAGCAGTAGTAAAGCTCTAGCAGCTATCCAAACGATGAAAATCATCTATGGATCACACGGCCGACAAAATATTTTGCCATATCATTATCTCGGGTAAACGGCGATATTTAAAATTAAAAATTTTCTCTTTTTACATAGCATTTACTTTTTATTTTAGTATGGTCTATCGTACGCCGTGGAGATTTTGGTATTCAAATTCTCAAGTATTTCGATGGTTTTCACGTCTTATGCTTACAGCTTTTGTAGCATCAGTTTATTTACCATTACGTGGTGTTGATTTATCGTATACACCATATAAAATTGTCCATCATCAACTTGATCATAAATTTGGTCATTGGATTGAAGAAATGCGTTATCCAGTCGATCAAAAACGCGTAGACGAATATAAGAAGGCACATGGACTCCAATAGATCTAGATTTACAAATGTTATCTCCTTAAAAACTAGCAAGACCATTCAGTGAATGCCCGACGAACATTTTCTTCCTTCCTTTTTTTCTCTCTCTCTCTCTCTCCATGTGATGCTATGTCAACGTTTTCAACTAGATTTTTCAATGTAATAAAGAAGAAAAAAACCATCGGTAGATTCGATTCGAGAATAAAAGCTTAATTAGAATTGCTGTGTTTTTTTTTAAAGAAATAAATACGGATAATTTACGAGAGAAGCGCTATGTTCATTACCAATTCAAATAGTGATGAAAACAAGAATACCCTTGACAAAGAAAACTAAAATTTCGCTTTGCAGAACGAAAAATATTGCAATCAAAATAATTATTTTGTCAACAAATGGACTTACCAATTGGTAGTAGAGACAAATCGATTGTAAACAGGTTTATTACTTGATTTCTATAAAGATTTCTGTATTGATGTAAAACCTCACATATTTCTTATTTTTACATAGTTGAATCGAGCTTCAAATGTAATAGAATTTAGGAATTCAGAGAGAGTTGAATTTTATGCTGAAATTTGAAACACTGGTCTTTGTATAAAATAAAATTTTGTTTGTAAAATCTCACAGAAATCCAGTGATCAATGTAATAATCAATACATATATTTGCATTCTTCTATGCAGTCATCTATCGAAGAAAAACCATCTTTGCATACAATAACAGCGAGAATGAAATTAAAAAACAGAAAGATCTATAATAAAAATGACTCCTCAGTAAACTTACGATAGTGATAAGCATTGAAAATATAGATTTCTATAGATCTTTCCGAAAAAGGAATCTCGGATATTTTATTCTATGAATTAAACTTAGCAAAATTATCAAAAACCGGGTAATCAATATGTGTGTTATGCATATATGAAATCACTTCACATTTTTTGTTAAATCGTGTATTCATAAGACAAATCAATGTAGTCCAAAGGAAATATTTAGAAAGACAAAAAAAATCTTGGCGTGCAAAATTTAGATGATTTGAATGAACGCAATTTTATTAATAAATTAAACATGAGTAATATTATAGTCTACAAAAAAAAACAAGAAATATAATGAAATCGAAAAGACGTCAATTATCGAGGTGTACATGTGGTTTGTTTTGATATAACTAATTGTGGCGTATCTACTGGTTCTGTGGGATTAATTTCAAGAGCGGCAAAATGTTTAATGAATGCACACTTGCATTTTGTTGATTTTGCCCATATGCATTTATCCGAAATCAAGGAACAGTATTTTTCATGAAATCATTAGAAATTGGTAAATATTTAAATGCAAGATTGACAGGCTCTGATTTGATTAGTCATGAAAATCGATTTGGAAATGTTCAAATGTTAATGATTGTCTGTATTTCAAATGCTAACTAAGATATGGATAAAATCTTCTAAATTGTCGATTCTTTAGTTTCATCACTTCCGAAAAACAACAAACCGTTTATATTGCTGTTGATTATATTAGATTCATAGGATCATAATTGATCATTATCTATTACACAAATAATTAGAAATGAAACTTTTATGTACACATCAATTATATGACAGTAGGATATTCTGTATGTTGCAAGTAAGGTAAATGCGTTTCGCAAGAATTCGATTTATTGAAAATAAACTTTCTTTCTTCTTATATATTTTGTCAAATTTTTATACGTTTGCAAAATCTAACGTGTTCGTTTGGAATATCCAAGGATATGTTATTATTTTATTATTAAAAATAAAAGACCACCAGAAAAGTGTCTAGACTTACAGCGAGAAATATTCAGTTGTCACACACTTTCTGATTTCACATTTTATCTATATGAATAATTCATAGCTAAACTAAGAAATTCGTCAAAGAACCATTGAAAACTCGATTACGAGATTTTCATAGAATGCTTTGTCTGTAGACAGATCTCATAACAATGGGTATCTCTCAAAAATGCGATGTCTAGATAATGTATTTCTACTGACAAGGGAGGGCCACCAAGTGTTCAATCGCTTTTGCGTTGAAACTACTTAGATTATGTAGCTCCCAAGGAGTTATGAACACGCTAAAAATATTTTGAACGGATAGCTTATTGTTACGAAAACAGGACACTTTTATTGTATTTTTTAATTATTGCCGTAGATTCCTTCAGGAACATTCGAAAATTGATTTTCGAATTTTAACTTGAAATTTTATGTAGCAAAACATCTCAACGAGAGTAGCGTTTTTTGAATGCTTTTGATCATTGAATTTATTTGTTTCATTAAATCTGCTACTTCATTTGAAAGATGTACAATAAAAATTTCACAATACCCGCGTCTAACGATTTGAACAGTAGAAAGGTCTGAAACGTTCACAAGAAGTTGTTCGCCGTAGCGAGTCTGTCTGTGAAAAGTCTCAAGTCAAAATTCGAACATCATTTTTTTTAATGTCCCAGGGGTAGAGGTGTCAGCTGAGGTGCTCATCGGCGGCGGCTGGAACGTTAAAAAAGCACTAGTTCTGTGAACAAGAGCAGTTTGTCTATTGCAATATCCTATCCCCAGGTGAATCAATCCGATACCGAATCCCATCGGATTCTATGGGGTCCTACCATCCGACGAAATCCCGTTAGATTCCTGGTTGAGGAATCAATGTCGGATCCGACAGTCGTATTTCCAATGATATCCGATTGTCGGAACCAATGAAATTCAAAGCATTTCGGTTCCGATTGACGGTTACTGTCGGATTTTATTAGTTTCCGATATTAGGATCCGATATCGATTCCGGAACCAGGAACTCGACGAGAATCCGATAGTTTCCTTGCGCCTTCCGAAGAGCTCCGTCGGATTCCAATAGGAACCGATCGGAACTCATCGGATCCTAGGCTAGGGTTCATTCTCCTGGGTCGTTAATATTTTCAAACAAATATGTGAAACAACTTTATTTTAGATCTTGACATAATAGATAAAGTACATTTAAATAAATTAGGGTTTTACATAAAATTAGAATTTGTAAGTTTTGTGCGCTTAAATTCTGCGAAATCCAGCTCAATTTCAGACTTGCCGTTTGTACTAGGCAAAAAAAATTAAGAATATATTTGAAGAGAGCATTCAAAACTGAACAGAAATGATACGAAAAAAGATCCTCGGTCGATAACTCTCAATAGTGAAAACAAGCAAACATTAGATCAAAAATTCTAGGAGTCGTTTTTTCCCCTGTATAAAAAGAACACGCTCGCCATTCGCCGGTATCAATCGAGCATCTTTTTTCATATTATTTCTGTTCAGTTTTGAATGCTCTCTTCAAATCTATTCTTAGATTTTGTTAGCGGCTGAGCCAGGATTTTGCACTGGGAGAGGTTGATGGGCGGCTAAAAACTACCCGAGGTAACTTAATCCACCTCAGTCACCACATGGATCCACCACTAGATTTTGTCTAATGCAAATTGCCAGTCTGAAATTGAGTTAGATTTCACAGCATTTAACCCAATAAAATTTGAGAATTCTAAAATGATGTAAAATCCACGTAAAATCCGAAGCATTTTTTAAATCTTTCATAAATTCCGACTATGGTTTCAGAGGAGGCGAAAAATTTTTTCTTGACTGTTCTATGAAATCAGTGGACAACTGTGTTCTTCATCAGGCAAAAATGTCATCTATCAGATCATGTACGAGGAATTGGTGCATCTCTATATATCATATCGAGATGAAAATGAATAAAAACATCGAAATTCATTAATAAATGAAAATATAAATAAAAATTGTCGATATCAATGATAGGGACGGCGGCGGCTAATAAATTTTAAAATTTCGCATGCCATCGGCCACGACGGCTCAAAAGATCTTGAAATTTTCATTGTCACCGTGGTAGCGGCGGTGGCTCAGCCGCACGACTGACACCTCTACCATGGAGTGGGGGGGGGGGGGGGGGGGGGGGGGCGGGGCCACAAAA